GAATAACTACGAACTCTCCCCCCTTATCACTAACAAACAGTCTTATTGTTTTCGAGCTTATTAATTCTCTAATTTTTGCATGCCACGTTTTGTGCGGCTGTGAGGTTAGAGATAAACCTTCTCTCGCGGTAGTGATTAAAGGTGAGTTTCATGTCGATTCCGTTGTTAGAGCCGTGCTATATAAAAAACGTTCTTGGGAAAGGAGATGGTGGTAATGCCGCCGCCTCTTGATTTTCAGCTCTATTTGATGCGCCGTGTTTAGTATGATAGCGGAGTCGATCTTGAAGCTCATAGAGGTTGCGTGCTATCCTATGCAAAGTTGTTTTAGAAATGGAAATTTATAACTTAGTTGTGGAACATATGGTAGGTCATTGTCTGGCAAAGGATTGGGTCATGATGAATGCATGCGCTGCTATTTTTAATGAATTAGATCGATTTTGTAACTTTATTTTTTTGTTGTGTATATAGCCTTGAGGTGCAGAATGTTATAATGGACTAATCCGAGTGGAGAGCACCGAACAGTCACCTTAACTTCCTTTTCTTGAAATACGGCTTTGGGAAGAGTTCAGAGCTGTCTCCTACGTGCAGTCATTGTGCTGAATTTCGTCACTTGTCGTATAAGACACGGTTTTCATCGCACTACATAATTCTTTGGAGAATTGGGTCGTTTTTGTTGCGAACAAAAAGTGTAAAATCCTAAGCCTATCTGGCATACAGAGCGAATTATTACTGCATTTAAAACTGGAGTTTTGCGAATTATGGCTTTGCAGACGTACATCGCTTCCGGCCACGTAATACCTTTCTTTCGCTTTTCATCGGTTATGTTCAAGTAAGCCGGTGGCGCACGCTTCATCCATTTGAAAAAAAACCGTGTTTTTCATGCAACCTGTACCTATTTCTTTCGAGTGTTACACCATTTTTTGCATGTGTAAGTACCACATTATAACTTCCTCAGGCAGTTCCCCTTTTGTGTTCTTCTCTCACTTATTTTTCCATCTTTCCTGGCCAGAATTGCTTGCATTTCGAGGTTCCCAAGCCTTTACGCTATTTATCTCGAGCAGCTCCAACTACTACTAGGTTGTTGTAGTATCAATAATAGATTTTGTTCAGCAACTTCGAAGTGCTCTATGCCAGCTCAGAAACATTTTTATTACTCAAGATAAGGTCCATTAGGTTACACACGTTTTTTCCAACAATTTACAAGTTCATTTATTCTGGTGGCCTTGAACTCTGATCTATCCAAAGGTATTTTCAGCAACGGCTCCTTGTTGAGAGTTTCACAGCTACTAGTTCTAGAGACGTTTCAAAAAAAGCGTTACTCGGTTAGTGAGTGGTACCCCGAGTACGATGGATGAAGCAGGGTTTAATAATCCAATCCTTGAAGCTTTTGCAGTGTTAATTGCTCGCCGTGTGGTTGGGCGTCGTTGCACAACAGCATTTGTCGATATGCACTGGTCACAACGGTTCCAGTTCTTGATACACATCGTCGATTTCCTTAAAATACTTGTCCACGGTTTCACAATGACTCAGCAGTTTGTAATAAATGACTCCAAATGTTGGCTACCAAAATTTCACAACAACCTTCTTATGATGTAAATCGAACTTTAGGAAATGTTTGGGAACTTTCGAGCGAGTCACTACACTGAACATCGTCAGTTATGAAATAAAACCACAAGGGTGCTGAGATGCGGGCAGAACTCTGAATCTCAGTTGGATTTCGAATCTGCACTTACCCTCACCTGGGTCCCCTGGGTCCCATGTGCTGTACACTACACCAACCTAGGGTATTGCTTTGCCTTTCGCTAAAGAAACGAACTTTGCGGAGTCCTAGTTTTGCTCAAATCCCAACAACTTTATAGTTATATACCACATAGTAATCTTCCATAAAAAAAGAATATGGAGTAGGTAAAAGATCAGGGCATCGTCGATTATCTTTTCAATTTTTTATCCGTACATCGAAATTCGATCAATAAATCGACCTTTTCTTTTTTTCGTAATCGGAATGCAGGCTTAACAATGACCATCCCTTTATTTTTCGTTGACATCATGTGGGTTCTCGTTTATCCATGTTCATCACCTTTTCAAAAGTCTTCTCAACGGCAGGCGATTGTTAACCGATGAATGTTTAGTTCTTTCTCAACTTCTCCGGTAGTTTTAGGAAAATCGGCCTCTGTTGTCGCCTTCAAACTGTCCTTTTCACTTCACGATATTCTATGTCCACCTTCTTCATCATAAAGACTCATATATCAATCATAAACCTATGCTTGGACGATATTTCAAGTTATTCATGCGGAAGTATTTCATAGTTTTAACTCATCAAGAACAATAAAACGTTTTTCCCACTTTCATAGGATTTGCCGTAGAAATATTCTATACTTTAAAAAGAACACGACAAAAAGATTAGAAAAAAAACGGCTTTTAAAGTGCTATAGAACAATTGTATAACTACCAAACAGCATATTACGTGGCACGAGGAAACGAGTAGCGCAATGGTAATGGTGACGTTCATGACGGGGACGGTGCTGGTTCGATCCCTCGAAGCGCCCGCAGAGAATCTCATCTCTTCGAAGTCAGGAAATTGGTGCAAGACTTGTCTGAGAACACTTCACTCCCTGTAGTGCAAGTGGGTACACTCTGGCCTGGTCTCTAGGAGAATGGAGTGGACTACCATTCAGTGATATTCATGAGGAAGGCGACAACCGAATATTTCGAGGACCTTTGTGGGTGATGGATGCGAGGGAACGAATCATGTGGAAAAAGGGTTGGATTTCGCACAATATAATGTATATCTTGAAGGTTCGTCTTAAGTAAAATAAAACAGGCACGTAGGCAACAAATGGTTGTCACATAATGTATCTGAAAATTTCATCATGACCGTATCAGCCATTATTTACGTTTCGGTCTGATAGAAATAGTCGGTTTTTGCACATTATGAAAGCCGCCGATTCAATGGGAGAAAACCGGCATTGGATTTCTACCGATGGAGTTTTCTTCTTACATGTTGGTGCTTTGCTCACGTGAACAGAAGCTGAAACAGGGGCAACAAATCATAAGGCCGTTGCGATCAACGAGTCCAACCTGAGAGCCAACTAGTGGAAATGCGGAGTTGTATACGGCGTCTACCATATATCTCGTCTAATGTTTCGCGGTTGAGGTCTAGGTAAGATTGTTTTAATTCATATGATCTGGTTTCGTATATTATGCAGATCCTAGCAGTGCTTTCTTCCGGTTCATTGTTCTGCATCCGTTAGCTGCGAAAGTCGAATTTGCGTGTGGAGTTGACTTCATTTGACATTTCGTTTTTCTCGGATTTAGGTGAATGCTGGTCGAGTTAATTCTGCCTAGAATCCAGAGATAGCTCTGCTACAGCGCTTCCATTTCTTCACCACAAGCCTGGTATGAACTCGGGAACCCGGAAGGAGTGGAAGTCGTTGTTGACTCGGTGCGGAGTCGAAATAAGGATAATTCGTATATTGTATGCATCACTGACCGCTACAATCGCCCCGCGTCGACGAAAAATTTAGGCTTTTAAAAGACGCTTATTTGTTGTCATTCTTTTACGATTTTCTACGACCTCGTTACTATGGAAAAGAAAACTAAGTGTCAACAAACATCTCCTTGTACTTCTCGGACGCCCTTCGTCGTTCCCTTCTTGTGCCCATCTTTGCACATTTTTTCTGCTAGGTACATGAATGTCAGCCCTGTACACGATAGTATTTTATCACCTTAGAATGTTAAATTAAAACAAAAAAGTGGTCTCCATATTTTTGTCTTTTATTCTTGTTCTGTGCTGGAAATTCTTCGCTTTAATTCTTTTTCGTGTTTATGTTGTATGGGGTTTTGTCGTTGTGCTCCTTCGTAATAACCTTTCATTAACAAACATAGTACATTAGCAGTAAATGTAATTGTATAATTCTCGATGTTTATGCCTCTTAAATCCTTTTTTCCTCAAGCAAACGAAGAGTCACTTGGCGAAGTATTCTAGAACGTTCAAGAATCTTTGAACTAGTTCTGAACGTTGTACATAACTGTAGACCAACACCTGTTCTGATTCTCTGTTTTGTTCTTGCTTTCTCGTGTTTTCAGAAAATTGAACAGTGATTTCTACTATCTCTCTCGACTACATCATTATTACTTAAACAATCCGATCAGGGAAATTGTTTCCAGGGTTAGAGATGCCAGCGTTTTTATAGTAGTAAGAGAGGGAGGAACTGACGTGTGTCGCCTAAACTCACGCCCATTTCCACGCAGTCGTTCGTTTCGTTCGTTCCTTGCTTTCGTACCTTTTGTTCGAATCCAGAACAGGTGAATCCGGAGCCACTGTTTTGTTCACCACTGACAATAGCTTTATGTTAGTTACTGCCACTGTTTTCATAGGTTTTTCACGATTTCCACCATTCTGCTGGTAACGCTGTTATCGTAGGGCACGTTAAATCGTCCTAGTCCGAAAAGTGATCACGTTTATTTTTAAATTTCTAATTATCACCTCTCATTTCTCCTAAGATAGCTAATTTTTGATGGCCAAAATGTAGGATTCGGCTTCACAGCCTTCCTCATAATGCCACAAGCGGCGTATCGATCGGAGTGCATGCCATTGGGCTACAGTATACGGGCTTCAGATGAAAGAAAAAAGGGCGCGCATATGTCATCGTGGCGGGATACGTCGTGTGACCTGATTTTCACGTGAACGCTCACATGAACATTCACGTGATTGGCATGAGATGTTCTTGGTTGTGTCATCGTCGTATATAAGCTGCACAGCAAATGTTCGCACTCGTTGAGGAGAATTTACCTCCAGCCAGCTCAAGTCTTTGCATTGAGTAAACCAAACTTCTGTAGTCTGTCAAGTCAATCATGTATATAAATAGAACATTTAAATCTATCAACCGCTTTCTATCATAATTTTACTGCCATGAAAGTTCATTTTTTGCTTCAATATTGCTGGATGTTGGTGGACACCTAATGGAATATACCCTTTAGTTCTTACTGAATTTTTTAAAATGTTCTCAGGTAAGGTGAGTTCTGAGCAGAACTAAATTGTGCAAATTGATGATGTTGAGTCCACGAATGATAGTTGTCCACTAGAGACGTTCTTGCGTAATAGGTGAGGGGATGATGTTGGTAATCCTGTCTTATCCTATGGTACCGAAGTATTCTTCACCTTTAACGATTGCTCTTACCGATTTTCTAACGACAATGACGTGGCCAGATATTTTTGAGTATTTGTGGTTCGCTGACCATGGAACGCCACTAAGCTGTCTCATCTACAATAGTAGCAGCAATTTATCTGTTATCTAACTGACCACAATTGAGTGGTTTTCCGTTTGCATAGAGACATGTTTGAAATTTAAGAAGTTGATTCATCAAAGAGCGAGCTGTTGGTGTTCGCAATGAAGAAAAAGATATTCTGCGAGGGTTCACTGCTGGACGCTGTTCAACGTGCAAATCTTTTCTCCGATTGCAAGCATTTCGTCGATATGCCGTTGAAGCATGACGCAGGTGAACTACCTTTATGTATTTATACATTTCTATCAAATGTATTCATTAAAAGGATTTTTCTTGAAGTTCAGGTTTTTCTTCACAGTACACTTATACACTGATACTTCTTAGATTACATAGAAAACTGGCTGAGAGAAAGGCAAACAGGTGCCTCAGTTGTACAATTGGTAACACGTCACCTCCGGAAAAGGTGACCGCGGGTTCGAATATAGCCTGGGTTCCTAGTTTTGCAAATATCTCAGCATTATAGTGGTTGTACTTAGGTCGTTGTCTTGTGGTACCTTCCACATATGTTTTGTGCCTTTCATTTGAATGGAATTCTTGCTATGTAATCGTATAACAATGAATTTAGAAGGGTATGCTTAGCAGTAATGGAAATCATCTTGATTCACTGATCTGCATAAGGAAATGTTCTAAAAAATATCCTGAATACATCTTATTGTGGCATAGTTAACCCTGTTATTGCTGTGATAAATTTAACTCAAAGCGAGGCGATTTGTATTTTGTCGTGTCCAAATGCTGATCATCATGTATTTGGACATTGTTCAGTGATGCTTTTACCCTACTGTTCTTCAAGAGTATCCTATTAGCTGGTTGCGTTCTGTAGTTCGTTCATTTTGATAACTTAACTAACTCAATGTTTAAAATATTCAAGCACCAAGTGTAACTTGGTCTTTGAACCATTTGCTCTACTGGTCCACTGGGGCACAGAGATATGAAAGGTTGCCAGATGTTCTCGCAAATTACTGCCTTCGTCATGATTTAAAGCACATTGCCACTTAATAAGGAAGATTGGTGCCGAAAAAAAACCCTGTGATATTGGTTGTAATCGCAAGTTTTCCAAAGAATCCATCAATTTCTACGTGATTTGGCATTTGGGGAATTGGAATTTTCGTCTTCTGTCTCGTTTGGATGTGGAGAATTTCACCGAATTAGAATGAATGATTCACCCCGAAAATCATTCCGGAAAAAAAGCTTCCAGAATTGCCATGGCATTCTCACGTGATAGCACTCGCATTCTGCTGTGTGCAAGAGAAATGCCTCTTATTGGCTCTCCACGAGAAATCACTTTCACCAGTCGGCAATTCACGTGAGTAGCACGCTCCATCGAATGTACTTCCGTGTTGTGCGTGGGAACAACGTAGAGGAGGCGATAAGCTCAGGGTGGTACGGTAGCAGACAGTCGGACAAACATTACTAGGCTCTTATATATGTAATGTGAATTGGTTATAGTCCGATATTGATTGTGAGAAGGTTTTTTCTCTATAATTTTAGGAACATTTTGAGGTTGGAACAAATATCTGTTACAGACAATATAGTTTGAACCTTGTGATTTAGGCAAAGTATTAAGACGAGTTGGAAGGTTTATTGCTGAGTAGATATTTAGTCTAATTTCGAGTTTTAAAATCTTTTTAAAGCAATTTTCTTAACCCGTAATTATTTGGTTTGGAAAAGTTCGACGAATTAACAAATAGGTGGAAAATACTTGAAGAGAGTACAGTACAGATAGCAGTACAAGAACGAAACATTCTAGTGGCTGCGAAATTTTAACCTTATTTAGAAAACCCATATCTTTGGGACAGGCCGAGTTTTGTCTCGGTTCTATTTTCCCACATGAAGTTCGCTCATTTTAAATGAAGTTGGGTGCTTGCCAGTGTATGCTGCTTATTGCACAGCTTATTCCCACACTTTGTTTTAAGATTTCTTATCTCTGCGGTTTGCATTTCTCCTCGACATTATCTAAAGTATTACCCATATAACAGTTTTATCCATGTACTTGGTTCTTGTTTTTATTGATTAAATATTTCACTGAGTTGGTAAAATAGATAAGTCTCAATATATATTTTCATAGTTTGTCAATTTGCTTAAATAAAGTTGAGGCGTTTAAGATTTCTTTTCTCATGAATTGAATAAATAAAGTCGAGAACAGGAACCGGTGCTAAAAAGGGGATGTTACCTTATTGTAGTAGGCACCATGTTAACAGGGAGCACTCAGTTTCACAGGGAAGGCGTTACGAGTTTGGACTTCGATTTTTTTTACCACGAGCTTTAGCGCGTGTAGCGCAGTGGTTTAGTGGCGTCCTGTAATGCACATGTGATCGATCCTACACCTCAGGCTCACTAAGCATTCTATCTCTCTGGGGTCAGCAAATTGGTACCAGACTTGTCTGGGAGAATAGCAGCATTGACTCGATACATCGGTAGGCCATCGCTAGATATGTTTTGTATTAGACAGTGTAGACACCGGATGTGCATTCATTCACCTCTAACGATGCTTAATGAAGTCAAATGCATGACGCTTTCTTCAGGGATTGATCAACGACGAAGGCTTTATCCTTTATCCTCTATCACGAGCTTTGATCACATGTATTTGCTTTGTTATCGCTCTCAAAACCTTTCGAGGACTTTAGTCATGGGAAATGTGGAAATATTGGGCAGCAATCAATAGTAAGCGGACAGCGATGACGTCATCGTACCTCATCCACGGTGTCGAAATCCTTACCATTTTGAAATTTCATCTCCAAATATTCTGCGCACACTACTTTTGACATCATAAGAAAGACAAAGGTGCAGAAGAATTATTAAAAATCCAAGTTTATGTTACTCTCTTAGAGACAACACTCGTACGGTGGGAAGCGTTACGGGCAGCCGGACCAGTGAGTGTAGAGCGTTTACGTGAATTCATCGACGAATACTTTGACCAGCCAGAAGACGAACTGGTTGGTTGCGATCCCATTGACTGGAATCCCGATGTGGGTCTTATTTTTGTATTCAAGAACGGTATTCGTGCCTTTTTGTTTTATCAAATCAATTGTTGTTTTAGAACAATGCTTTTAATTCCATCAAGGATTCGAATTACCGTTCATTCGCGCTAGCACTACACAGGAAATGGCCAACACTATACAGAAAGGTTCTTTCACATGTTTGCTCTCGATCCATCCAACCGTCCACTACAAATCATCGGTTCATCCGTCGATATGCTGTCGAATGCAGAATGAAAATATACGTGACAAACACAAGCTGAAATGAGGTGATTATATCGCATAGTTAGTGATGCAAATGAAATGTAGTGCGGATGCGTCGTGGTTAGCGCCATTGTTTGGATAGGTATCGACTTTTCCACCATCACTGCGTAAGTTGTTGTTTGTTAACTCAGCAGAGGAATAACTAATCATATGAAAGGTGCAATAGCGCATCTCTCGACGTGAAAAATTTAACAGAGCAGAACTCAGGAATCAAGCTTATTTTTGAAATGCAGTGACTCTCAAGGGTTCATAAGGTTCCATGTTCAACTTTTGTTAACAAGGCTGCTGGACGGTGTTGTTTGTAATCAAAACGTTGGTTTGAATAATTAAATACACCGTAGTTTGTTTTTTAGATTTCGGACAGCGTACAAATGAAACCTGAGAGGTACTCAATCATTCCAGTTCCAAATCCGTTTGTAGTACCTGGTGGAAGGTTTGTTCCTTCATCTCGTCATAACCACTTTTGCTATGATTATTCTAATCTTTTTCTAAAGGATTGTTTTGTAGGTTTCGAGAAATTTATTACTGGGATAGTTTCTTCATAATCAAAGGGCTTTTGGCTTCTGGTATGTATGTCACTGTCCGCGGAATGATCGAAAATATGCAGTACTTGGTTGAGAAGTGAGTGATTGTTCTCAGTTTTCTCTGCCATTCTTCTTGGATTCATAATATAGGATGGTGTATTTGACTAACTATGAGACATGAAGTCCCACTTGTGTTCACCACTCCTTTTCCAGGTTTGGCTTTGTTCCAAATGGCAATCGAATCTATTACTTAAATAGATCTCAACCACCTGTTCTTACGTGGTGTGTTCATGCATACTACGTGGCCACGAATGACCTTGCTTTTGTCGAAAAACTTCTACCGACACTTCGAAAGGAGGTAGGACTACTGAAAGTAGTTATGCTTTTGGTCATTGTCGAGATCTACCCGAATATAGGAATAAAGTCAGGAAAAGAGTTTTGGCCCAAAGTTTTCGCTGCAGCGCCTATTGTTTTACTTTTGTAGACTTTTGTTCTCTAAGCCCTCCTAACGGCTTACCGCCTCATCGTGGCTGGGAGGTGTTCCTGAGTGTCGGACTGCGATGTACAGCGGTGGAATCATCCCCTCCACAGGGTCTCTCAAACTAAAGGGGAGTCCTGTGCCTCCATCAAGAAGCCCAGCAAGGACTAAACCAATTCCAGGTTCCAGCACCGTCCTGGTATCAAGCTAGTCGAATGATGGCAAATTCCCCTTTGATCCATAAAGGCGGCGACTGGTTGCGGTGGTGAAGACCTGGGGTAGACTTTGGCCATGCTGTCCTTGAGACTCTAGGGAACCAAAGTGGCTTAACCAGCAAATCTCTGAAGAGTGGAAATGTGCTGTGACCCGCAGAACCAGTGAAGACAGGCCATCCATGTATCCAAGTAAGGAAGTTTTTTCTCTAACCAGAACGAAAAGGTTGAATTGAAAACTTAGGGAATACAATTAACGAAAACACTTCTGTCAATGTCATCAACTGTGACAAGAAATTTAGCATTATAGATGGCGTTTTTCCAAACGAACAGATCAGTTATAATGGACGGATGGCCAAGCTCGCTGTATCGTTATCGCGTTGTTGTAGACTCACCACGTCCTGAAAGCTATCGTGAAGATATCGAATGCGCCGCACACTTGCATGAAGGTTCGTGCAATAGTCCTCTTGTTCTTAATAAGTAACTTTATTTTTATTCTAGAAGCTGAAAAGCAGAAGCTTTGGGGTGATATTGCTGCTGCAGCCGAGAGTGGACGAGATTTCTCAAGTCGTTGGTTCGCTCAGACAGGACCGCTGGTGGGGAAAATGGAAGGGACGAGGTAAACATCTATTTATATTGGATAAGAAGTACGACGTTAGTTTCTCGTAATGTTTTTTGATAACGCTGAACAAGTATGCGGCGGTTTTCCGTTCGACACTCTGATAAAGTCGGAACACTAGCAGTTGGTGTAATATTTTCTAGATTACTAGGTAACATCAGGTTAAATATCGCGTGACGTCGGCCACTCATACCTTCAAGACAAACATACGTCGAATAAACGCGTGAATAAAAGCTAAAGCATGGATAATGTGTTTACATACTTTTCATCAATCTTTGGCTCGATCTGAAATCATTCTTTTCTTATACATATTTTAATGAGTGTTTCATCTGTCATTTCTTTCCAGGACCAGTGAAATAGTGCCTGTTGACCTTAACGCAATCATCTGTGGCAATTTGTTGTTGATGGGAGATCTTTACGATGCAATCGGTGATATCGATGGCTCAAAGTGGTGTGCTCAAATGGCCGATTTGATGAAGCAAACTATTTACCAGGTGAACCGAGTAAATTATTTTTAATTGCCTCGTGATAATATTTAACGGCGCAAGTTAAATACTGTTTTGATGTTGAATGTAGAAATTCCTCTGGCTTTCTTCCTTCGTTACATTGTTCACGACCAGTTGCTGGACAACTGCTGGAACCGTTCTCACCGAGAAAAAGGAACAAGGCAGGAAGCCTCCCATCAATCCACAGCGGCACTACCTGCCTATGGTGAGAACCTGCGTAGACCTGGGCAGTGTTAAGTCAGGATTCCTATGAAAAGGATCTTAACTAAATTCGGCAGAAAGGAGGTACTAGACGCCAAGCGACGTGTGAGGACCGGCCGTCTAATCTTCTAGATGTAGATTCCTAAGCCGACTATTAACCTTGACGTTGTTCAATAAGTTAAGGTTTTCTTCGTGAACAGATGGGATTGTTAATACTTCCTCAGAGCTTAGAAAGGTCAATTAGCACGCAATCTAGTTTATCAAACACGTTCATATACCAAACAGAAAAAAAACTCAATGCATAAGTTTCATTTGCATAGTAAACAACTTCTTTTAAAGATTCACTGGTTTGTTCTTTGTAAGTTTTATAGTTATTTGGTGGAGACTAGTCGCACAAGGTTCTACATAGACGAGGTATGTGCCTGACTCAGATCGAAAAGCCTGAAGTATGGTGCCAGGTCACTCATGTTCACAACACATTCCTCCTTGCGGTTCATTGTTGGATTTTTGGAATTTATCGAAAACGCTTCATAGGGTGTTTTATTTGGCTTTAAGTTTCCCGACGACATGTTCTTTCACACGGACGTACGGTAGTTTACCCATTTCGCCAACGTATTCGTCGCCGCATGCTTTCCATGCGATTAGGTACGCTGTACACGAACTCGTGTAGTCACTATCTCTACCGTTTGTGCAAATTATGCAACATTTGTGCTATATATTGACTGTCATACAAATAGTTAGCAACTAGCTGTCGATTTAATGTGTTCAGTAGTATTTCAGTCACTGCTATCAAATTTTCAACGCCGGTCTATTTAAGCATCCCTTTTTGGCTGTATGCACTTCTTTGGGGGCGGAGCGCGTGCGGTGGTGGTCAGAGGCGCCCTGCAACACACATGCAATCGGTTCCCGCCACTCCTTCCTGACCCACCAAGCTTTCTGTCTCTCTGGGACCTGGAAGTTTGCACCATACTTGTCTGGGAGGGTAGCCACACTTGCTCGATACATCGGTAGGCCACCGCGAGTCATTTTAAAGGCGAGATATGAATTCAGTCACCTCCAAACTGAGCTTAATGAAGAGAAATGCATAGCGCATTCCTCAGGGATTGATCAACACCGAGAGCTCTATCCTTTGTCCTTTATACTTCTTTGGAGATAAGTATGGATTATTTTCTTTTTTTTTAATGTGATTTCTCGTAGTTATAGACCCTTCACTGTTTCTACTTCGCTTCCGCGAATATATGCTTAAGTGTTCCGTTTTGGGATATCTCGATAGCTCAAGAGGGTTTTCCAGTATTCTTCCCTTCACATTAACTATTTCTGGAGGTTTCGGACTTACGCTTCTCTATAACTGCATGGAATATGGTGTTCGTCCACAATAAATGGTTGGAGTATTGAAATTTATCGAGTTTGAATTAGTTTAAATATCTGCGAACATTATCCAGTGATCTTGCTGATACTCTTTCTAAATATGGTTTCTATATTATTTTCTCCCTCTTAGTATCTCATTAAATTCTTTTCTTACACATTTGCCTTTTTTCCCTTTTTGACTAAGTCTCCCCATTACTGTCTCGCCTCTGCAACCGATTTCCCCCATATGAGATCTCGAGCCGGTTAGCCACGAAGCTACGTGGCGCGTCCCCAGGTGGCGTATAGGGGGTTAATCGCGGACCAAAAGTGACCGTATGTTACCTTAAGACCCAGATGCATCCAAGGGATGGACCCCCTGCTTCTGCTGCGCCAATTTTCCAATCTGTATTTGAGAGGCGTATTGATGCACGCGTGTGCGTTCGGGTTGTAGTTTATGCGGATTGTATTCTAAGAGTCAATTCGGCGAAAAGGATGCTACCAAGTGACAAGGAAATATATGGGAGCCAATTAGGAGTCGTCTCCAACAAATATAAGCTCCATGTCCATTCTGGGAGAGACTGGCAAGCTACCCGTAAGTATACCTAGCCTCCACGTTCATAGCCCATCAATCAATACGTGGGTATCAAAGTGCTAAATACAGTAAAAAAAAACGGGCCTCATTCCTCTGACTCCGAAAGAGCCCCCAATTTCGCAGCGTTGGGTAGGACGAGATCAATACCGGCTTTGTCAATTTTCGTCGTTTACGCGCCGACATCAAACTATATGGACTTGAAGAAGTTCTACAAAGAAGACCATACATTCTTCAAGGTCATCACTGGAGATTTCAACGCTGGGATTGGACCCACAAGAACGTCTGAGGAACGTCACATTGGGACCCACGTACTAGAATGGAACGAACAGGGAGAGCAGCTGTCCGAGTTTATCATGACGACCAATACCATCCATGACACCTCGCGATTCTAGCATGCCCACCCTCAATACTGGACATGGGAGCCTACAATGGAAAGTGCCATAACGAAATAGACCACATCATAGCAAATATAAGGTTTTGCCTTACCGCTGTCGCTGTTGTCCCAAAATCCAACAGTGCATCAGACCATCGTCTCCTTCGTGCAATATTCTATTTGTCGCGGAAAGGAGAAAAAGCCGCTAAATTCCAAAACCGAAGTCCCAGAACCACCGTAAGCTGGGATTTATTCAATTCATTAGTCGGCTGTTGGGAAGATACCGTTATCGACAGCATCGGTGAAGAGTACGATCGGTTTATTCTACATCTTCACGTTAAAGCTATGAAAGCTGAGGTCGCGAAAATCACCAAGAGACGTCTGTCTCCAGAAACTCTCGAGCTGATACGTCAGCTGGAATCGCACGAGCTGCAGGTAACCGCGAACTAACGTCCGAGCTTGCAAAACAATGCAGGCAGGTGATAAAAGAAGATCTGAAAGAGAGAAGATCAGTAGTAATTGTCGAAGCTGCAGAGCCTTGGAGAAGCATTGCAATGCCCACTGAAGCTTCGCCAATTACAAGATCAAGATGATTGCACTCAGATGCCAAAACGGAACACTTACAGCGTCCAGAAAGGTAATGGAGAAAATCGTTAACGAATACTACTCGGATCTCTTCGATAGCCACGTCCACCTTCTGTGATATGAAATAAAGGATGGATATTTGTACCACCAGTTGTCCTTTCCGAAATGCGACATGCCATTCCGTCGGTGAAAAATTGAACAGGACAAGGTCTTGACAGGATAGGACCAGAACACCTGAAAAACCTTCCACCAGTCCTCGTAAACACACTAGCTCGGCTCCTCATATGTTACCTGTCTGAATGCAAGGTCCCTGCTTAGTAGAAGACCAGCAAGACCGTGTTATTGTTCAAGAAGGGTGACCTCCACGATATCGACAACTATCGCCCAATCTGCTTCCTGTCTGTCGTCTGCAAATTTTCCACTCGAGTCATCCTAAGCAGGAGTGACAGAGCACTGGATGAAGGGCAGCCATGTGAACAAACAGGGTTTCGAAAGGGATTTGGTATGGTGGACATCATTCACACGATAAGAAGACTCATTGAAGTATCTCGAGAGCACAGAAGACCGCTCTGTCTCACTTTCATAGATTTAAAGAACGCCTTAGGTTCAGTTGAGATAGAAGCAATCATATAAGCCCTTGATAATCATGGAGTCCCTGCTCAGTATATAAAAATTCTTCGTGAGGTATACATGGGTTTCAGAACCAAGATATCACGATTCTATGACGATATTAACATCGACGTCAAAAGAGTGGTCGGGCAAGGGAATAACATCTGCAAAATTATTTACCGTCACCCTAGAGAACGTCATGCGAACGTTAGAGTGAGATCACATGGAAGTGAAAATTGATGATCGCCAATTACACCATCTTCCCTTTGCTGATGACATCGTCCTTACTGCCGCACATTAACCAATCGGAACGTATGCTTGCCGACTTTGATAAAGCCTGTGGAAAGATTGGTCTTCGACTAAATTTCACAAAAACGATGTCCGTGAAGAACGGATTAGTTCCGCATGTCCCATTCACGCTCAATGAAACGAATATCTCTGAATGCTCTAATTATATTTATCTAGCTAGGGAAATCAACATTATGAACGACTTAACTCCAGAGTTGAGCAGAAGGAAACGAGCGGCTTTGTGAGGTTTCAGGAGCATCGAGGATTTAGTGGAAAGAACAAGAAACACCCGACTCCTTGCTCCCTTTTCGACTCAACGGTACTTTCTTCGTTAACATATGTGTCAGAAACTTGTTCAATGCGTAAACAGTGTGGAAAGTCACTCAGCGTTATTTAACACGCAGTCGAAAAGACGATACTAAGAGTATCCCGTTTCACACAAGTTTCACAGAGAAGGGATCCGAAGCCCTGAGCCACGTTAACGATCAGAAATAAAAGATGCCATTCTGTACGTCAAACAGTCGAAGATAAGGTGTGCTGGACACATAATGCGAATGAACGATAACCGGTGGACAAGAGCCGTTAGTGACTGGATTCCTCGGGATGTCAGACGATACAGGAAGACCAACCGACCAGCGTCCACCAAAGGCATAGAAGAAAGGTATGATGCTCAACGAGTCCCTAAAGCGAGAAGAACCCACTTGTCTACTCTTACACGCGACAGGGAAAAATGAAAGATTTACTGGTACCTGCTCGAGTCACTTGACGATCAGTGGGACTACAGATTATTACAGGTTACAGATTACAATCTCCTCTCTGATACTCTGCCACTCCGATGTTTTGACCACTCGTATGACCGTTAGCTCTTTTAAAAAGCTCTCTCTCTCATTTGCTTTCGCGAGATTAGCTAGCAGTGTTTTCTTTCTTTCATTAACTGTCTCTTTAAAATTCTTATTCACGTTTACTAAATTTCCAAAGTATATGAATGCAACACATGGTATTCGTAATCACCAATTTGCCGATTACTACAGATTAAGGTTCTCTTTTGGCTCTCCTTAATCCAAGGTGTTATTCTGGCTGACTTTCTCTTATGTTCGATTGGAATCTGAGCGTTTCAATCATGTCTCATTCTCATTATTTGCAAAAAGATTTGCTTATGAAAAAATAGGATTGTAGCTGGATTTACCAGCAGTTTTTTCTCCATAACTTGTTCGGAATATTATAGTATGGAAGCGCTTTATAGAACAAGCCTAGTGCTTTAACAACCCCGATTGCAACATTGCTGCCGCCAATGCGCTAGCACTGAAGAACAAACCTTGGGCTTTTATTATGTAGTAGACTTCTTTCTCGAAATCAAAAAGTACGAGGTGTGAATTATCGTCGTGGACATCCCTGTAATTGTATGCCGTTTTCATTGCTTTTCAATTCTTTATTTGTTTCATGAAGCATTGATAGGACATTTTGTCAAATCCTCGTTTCTTCTAGGTGCTCTGGTACGAATCAGCCGGATGCTGGTTCGATTACGATACGGCAACAGGTCAACATTTGTGCATGTTCAGCGATACAAATTTCTTTCCGTTGTACACGAAAGCTACACATCCAGGTATTTAGTAGCATTGTCACCGAGAACTGCAGTGTCGAGAGTGCCAAATAATTTGGTTTCTTCCAGGATTCGATTCACAGAGTGTCGTTGACTATTTGCGTAGAACAGGGGTATTAGAGTTTCCTGGTGGAGTACCGTCGTCACTCGTCGCTACTGGTTACTTTTTTTCCTATGTTCTTTCATCTTCACATTGTGACAAATGGTTTCTCGAGAACATAGCTGAATAGTTTTGAATTCAGGTCAACAGTGGGACTTCCCAAATGCCTGGGCACCAACGATGTGGATTCTTATTGAAGGTCTCCGTTCGACAGGGCAGGATGAAATTGCACTGCAACTTACAGATAAATGGGTGCGGAAGAATTTCAACGTGTGGCGCACCAGTGGAGGGAAGATGTTCGAAAAGGTTAGTTTCATAAAATTTAGGGCGAGAAGGCGAGGGCGGTAAAAGTAAAATAGTGGCCAGAAGATAATCGTTAATAAGTAAGCTTAAAGCTAGACTTTATATGCGCTAATCACTAACCGTTTACCATTGTGATAATTATTTCCTGAATGCTCTATTCTACAACTTATTTTCTGAGTCATCATCAGTAAGTGGTGATCTTAGGCAAATTCGCTAATCACTATTTTCAGTACAACGTTGTCACTTCATGTAACAAAATCGTGGGGGGTGGTGGCGAGTATGAAACGCAAGAAGGATTTGGTTGGAGTAATGGAGTGTTGCTCGATTTGTTGATTACATACGGTAGTCAGATTTCCTGGACACCTACAGATGAGTGCATATGCTGTGGAACGGACTGCATATGCCTTATGTAGATCGATTGCCTCAGAACGTCCGTTCTCGAAGTTCGACCACTTACGGACGATATCTATAAGTTAGGATCACACTAGAGAGCACAATAGGTGATCAGTTCGTTCTGTTTCAGTTAATTTTCATACCTAGGCTGTAACTGGAACTGTTTTTTAGCCGTATTGAATCTTCTTAATCTTCTAATCTAACGTGCTGCGATGGTAGGAACACCTATTCTTCGCTTTCTATTTACAGTTGTGCGTATTACATGCCCCCATTATAGGCGATCATTTTGTCCCCCCTGACCCATTCCAATGTTAAGTTCCCTTCCATGTTCGCTGGCGTTAACCTCAAGGGAAACTGTGTTTGTGAACGAATACTGACTCTCGTATTTGATGGAACTTCATTTTTAGATACTGATTATTGTACACTCTTAACTGTCACAAAATTGGTGTTGATGTCGACATAACAGCATCATAAGAATAGTTGAGAGAAATGAAGATTGGAGTACTATAGTTAATTTAGGAAGTGACTACTAGCATAATGATCACCTATAGTACTCTCTAGCTTTTCATTTTCTTCTAACGGTTTTGTGATAATGTTTGGCTGCTTTTCCATCGTCGGGAAAAAAAAACAAAAATACGAGTGAACAAAAAAAGATCGTCTGCATATCTAGTTGTCGTAGGTGTCAAGCCGATCAAAGGTTAACCCATTTCTTTTATTGACGAATGTGTGAACATGAGTATAGACGGGTTTGTAGTAGATACAATGGAACAGTTTTACTAATAAAATATTTGTTCAGAGCTTCGTTTATCGCATTCTTTATAGCTCGGAAATAATGAATAAAGAGGTAGCCACATGCAGTAGACATCCTTCAGGCGACTTTCCATTGAGAATCCTTCACTATCACCTGGACCACTGTTAACGGACAGTTTAGACGGCGCTTTTTACGAATCTCTTTGTGATCCCTGTTTTTCTCTTATGATAGCCTATTTGATAGCCAAGGATCCGAAAAACGAAAAATGTCTTAAAACTAGGAAATGAAACTGGTTTTTAATCAGCAGTGCATACCTACTAAGGGCGCTGTTGCTTCCATGATTTGTCAGTTTTACGAATCATTTCTTTATCGGCGTATCTATTTTATCTTCTGCATACTCTTTCTGGTAAAACCTTTTCCCAACAGCTAAGCCATATGACCGAGCATTGCTTACGGCGAGGTACCTCTGACTATAGCGAAAATCCCCACGGCGGTTATTTTCTTCGCACTTCGCAAAATAAAAAACACCACACGAGAAGTGTAATACTTTTCGTCTCTGTTCATTGAGGGGTCGTTGTCAGTTGTAGCGCGCTATTCGGATGTATGAAAAGTCTGATGGAGCTCCCTTGTCACTTGTTGACGGGATTAGAAGGTGACATCTATTCATACGGTAAACGAACACTCTTCAAAACGATTTATATGTGGTGGAATATGGATAACACTTTATCATCGTTGGAAAAAGAAAATGAAAGAACAATTCGTAGCACTTTCAAACGTCCAATAAAGGCCTCTGTAATATTTCATCCCTAATGAGAGTGAGTAGCACACCTAATGCAAAATTTGGCATATACAATTGTAAACATGCTACCATTTAAATTACAAAAGGAAGGATTCGTCGAGCTCTTAAAAATCTCATAAGTCTATGAAAGCTTGCTATACACTCGTGTTAAGTCCAAAGATATTTTGTGATTGTGATCGTCGTGGTTCTGCTGCCGACGAAACTGGTGAAAGTCTAGAATAAAAACGTTACAGGGTACCGAGTGGATGTACCATTTGCCGATGACTCATGCACATTTTAGTGTTTGCGGTAGCTCATGAGACATGAGAAGAAACAAGGGCAAATTTCAATCAACACTTTCCAACACATTGGGCTCTCATGTAATGTAGTGCTTACCCATGTTGTCCTCTTTTATCTGAGCAGCGATCCAGTTCTCTATCTACATGCTTTACAAAATCCTGTGAAACCCGAATGTTATGTTATCACCAAATGACATAATAACTATTTGTTAATACTACACCTTTCGACGTCACGATCACGACAGTACAGCTCATTTTATAGATAAGCTTGTCTTTTTTGCTCTAATACTCCTCGTTTGCTTAAAGTTTTAAAACCGCTCAGGTGCATTGTGGTTGTACTACTATTCTAAGTAAAATTTCAAGCACTTTAAGACTGTATCTTAAGTCATTAGTAGTGAAAGATTATGTGGATTCTTTCTTTAAACAGTTAAACTTTCCACAAACATAATGCGAAGTTGACTCCGTCCATTGTTCGAATCACTCACCTAGCCGGCTCCAATGTAGCTGGAGTGCTTCTGGCCTGGGGCCGCTGAGTAGGTTGAGTTGCTTCGTCAAGAAATGAGCCAACAGATGCTACTCGACCTTGATTCGTGTAACCCTGAAATTTGAAAATTTTCCTTTGTCAACCTTTTATTTACTGCGTACCACAATTTTTTACTGCAGAGTATATTATGTGAAACACAATAGCAATGATGGTGAGATATTTGTGCATTTCAGGACCACAGGTGTCTGCGGTTTAAAGACACCTGAGGTCCGGAGTTTTGCAAATATCTCAGCATTATTGTGGCCTTACTTCGCTTTATTAGAACCTTATTCTTAACGTGTTATTTAATATACTTATGTTTCCGCTCTTCTCCAACACCAAAGGATTTGCAAATGATTAGTCATAAGGGTAGGAAGCAAGCCTAGAGACGGATAGATGAGGAAGCTGCACAGAAAGCGACGTGATGCTTCCTATGAGAAGCAGATGGATTCAAATTAGTAACTGATTCTGTTCCAGAATGACAAATGCATTCTTTATGTATGTGGAACAACTTGCATATATGCGGATTGTATTTTCAGAGTGAAATCGTGCAAAAGATCGCAGCGATGTTACTTTCATGAAAATAGAAGGTGGTTTAGGTATAGGAAATGCTTGGAGTTACCTAAGCAAACACGCTATATATCTATTCTGGAGAAGCCGGAGAAGCAATTTGTGAGGATACCTTTTCATTTTTGGAGGAAACCGGCTAGCCGCATATTGCTAGTTATTCGGAAAACGTGGAAAATGGTATCCTTTATATTTCTTGTCGAAAAATCTCCCGATACAAGAGTGTTAATCAAGAAAAGATTGAAGGCTGTCAAAATTTTAAGGCCACGATATACTGGCAAATTTTGGGAAACCATGGCGGTGAACTGCGTTTTCGAAAACATCGATGAGAAATATAACTTGTTCATTCATCACTTCCCCCTTTATCCTCCAGTTTGAAAGAAAGGAACAGAGATAAACCAGTCTGCAGGAACTCGATCCTATACTTAAAAATTCAATCATAGTGTGCCTACGGCAAGTATCAACTTACAGAGCAGCTACACCGAAATCAGTGTATGCGATCAACATCTATTTTGTACACATCGAATATCGCCTTTCTCTTCTTTCATATTATCTAAGAAGAAAACAAAACAGAACTGGATATGGTGGGTCACCTAATGCGGTGATTGGACTCAATCAAATATAAGCAGAGCACAAGACGTCGCTATTTCCTAATTTCCTCGAATTAAAGATGTTTGATTCAGTTTAGAGAAAGTCGTTATGGAATCTCCTGACGGTCATCGCCATGCCTAGTGCAGAACCATCCTCTATAAACTAAACAACTTTACAACTTCACCAATCTACAACGGAAATTTTTCTCGATACACAGTGGTCTGGTACGAGGATAACGATTTTACAACAACCACAATGATGCTGATATTTACTGAGACGCTAAGCCAGATCTGAACCCGCGACTAACCTTTTCGGGAGTTCACGTGCTACCCGCTGCACTACTAAGGCCCTCGCTTTACCCTTTCCTGAGCCAGCTTTTTTTACTCTAACGGTGCCATCAGCAATCACGTAGGATGAAAAATCGGCTAAGAGAAAGGCATAGCAAGGGCTTCAGTGGCGCAATAGGTAATACGTGAGGCTCCGGAGAGGCTATCGCGGGTTCGAAACTGGCCTAGGATTCGGAGTTTTGCAAATAACTCAGCGTCATTGTGGTCATACTTCACATAGTGCCCAACATGAAAAAAATTAGATTTAGATTTTGATAGATTCTACTGCAACTATTCGGCGTCACTCTAAAGGGCGTCCACCGGAAACTAGAATGGAATAGGAAGGGAATGGTAATCGATCACAGTCAAATGGACCATTTTTGCTGTTTTGATGATATCGTTTCTAAAACACCATGCATTAACTAAGAAGCACGAATGTCAGCCTATTTTGACAACGCTGTGTGGTAAGATCAGGTTTCATATAGACCTAAAGGACAAGGTATTCAAATGAAACAGATGTAGCTTATTTCACTGATTAGCTAACACGAGGCTGTTACCATATATTTATTTGGCTAGCGTCTCGACGTCTTCGTCTTCATCAGAGCCGATGAGTCGACAGTCCATAGTCGTTCATCTTTTCAATGTGGTGTTTTCATCGTCGTAGAGTGCTAAAGAAGTGATAAGTGGCGATCTCACTGAAGAAAATCCGTCTCGATACGACTACTAGGACTCCAAATCGAGGAAACGGTTTACAGTGGAAAGGATATGTTCCTGATGCTTCATTCATGACCGAATAATTCAGATAACTACGCAGAACGGCATTTAGTCAAGAAAAGAAGAAGAAAAGAAGTGCATACCATATATAGCATTTCGGAACCGATAGTCCCTCCTATTTAAACGAGTTATTTGGAAACTTAGACCTCACATAGGTTGGACGAATGAGTGGTAAGCGACTTTGAACCTGGTATTGAGAGACAATGATGCTACGAATAATCCACATCGCACAAATGAGAAAGAGAAAATCCGACCTGCAATATACATCGATGATTAAAGAGACCCGGGACGCATCCGAATTTGCTAATTCGTCTAAACAATATGGGAGGCACAATAGTGGATAAGTGCCACTGGAACCCAAATCAACAACAAGAAGACTACTGATCCAGTCGTTCGAATTCATGAAGAACAAAGAAAAGACAATTCGCATCCCAAAACCGTGCAGGAATCGCTAGGCAACTGTGACACTCGGTAGAGAACAGTTATTTCATAGTAACCGCTTGGATCAATAAACGATCAACGGCGATCCTGGTGATGCAGCATATTCTCGTGTCCACACATTCTTCACTGAACCCGTTGGACCAAGTAAACCGCTACCATACAACGCTGCTATCTCTATCTTATCTTGAAAAAATTACCTGAGCAGAACAAAACGTCGATTTTACAACAAAAAAGTCTGGGCAGTCTATAATGGACACTAATGGAGTCCGCACTGCCTCAGCAAATTTGTAAATGATACACGGATTGTGATGGCAGATCTTAATGTCGAGAACGCTGTTCGTTACAGGAGCTTTACTAGAGAGCATAAAAGTAACCATTAGTAAAAGAAAAAATAAAAAAGAAAACATGAGATTTGATATATTAACAATACTACCCATCGCAAACTTAGAAAAACTGGATGGGTAAAAGTTTAATTGTCCGTGGTTCTACCAGAAAATTGAAGTATGGCGATCAGAAAGGTTTTCCGCAGCAACGTATCAAACACATTACTCTCTTTTGTATATAATAGACTTCTTCAGCGTTAGTGAAATAGAACTGGATCTTTCGCATGAGTTCTTATTCATCCATATTTCACTTTAAATTAGTATTTGAATAAACTTAAACAGCAATAATAACTAATAAATATTACTAATATTATATGATTATATAAAATAATAGAAAAAACCGCCGAACGGTTTACCGCCTCGTTGTGGCTGGGAGGTGTTCCTGGGTGTCGGACTGCGATGTACAGCGGGGCGATCGGTCCACCTGGCTGAGTCTCCCAAGCTGAGAAGGAGACCGGCGTTTCCATCAGGAAGCCCAGCTAAGAGTAAACCAATACCAGGATCCACCACCGTCTTAGTATCAATGTCGCATGGTGGTAAATCTCCCTCTGATCCACAAGAGCTGCGAGTGCCTGTCGTGGTGACGACCTGGGGCAAACATTGAGCAGGCCGTCCTCGGGATTCCAGGGAACCACAATGGCTTAGCCAGCGAATCTCCGAAAAGTGGTGATCATGCTGGTGTCCACACAACTAGTGAGGACGGGCCGTTCTAGTATCAAGTAAGTAAGTAAGTAATAAAAAAAGAGCTCTCGGCGTTGATCAATCCCTGAGCGATGTTCCATGCGTTCGACTTCATTAAGTATCGTTGGAGATGATTGAAAGCGTATCTGGCCTTTACAATGACTCGCGGTGGCCTACCGATATATCGATATAAAATAACATGAAATAATATAATAGTAAACATTATTGTTAAATAATACAACATGCATGATTACATAAATGTATTAGGTATAATAATAATAGTATAATAGTAATAACAATAAATATTTATGTTAAAAATGTATGTCCAAATATAGTAATAATCTAAAAAATTGATATCTCCTTCGGTTATTAAGCTAATAATTAAGGTCCTTTTTGAGAATGTTCAGCGACTCGACTAAAACATGGTTATTAAGGAAAACCTATGTGCCAAAGGAGTCATGAACGAATGCAAAGAATAACAGGAATCAGGTTGAGCGCCGTTCAAAGTGAAGTCGCCACGCAGTGCACTCGAACTCAACACTAATTAAAACTTTCCGAAAAAAAATGGAAAGCACAAAATAAAACGGTAAGGATGCTGAGATATGAGCAAAACCCGGAACATCAACTGTGCCTCGAACCAGCAACTACCCATATCGGTGGCTCAAGAGCTATGCACAACCCTAATCGAGGCCTTGATTTCAATTTCTCTCAGCCATGTTTTTACTCAAACGGTGCTATTGGCAATCATCTATCTGCGAGAATGACAGAAACGATGAAAGAAAGGCAAAACAAAAGCCTTGGTTGGGTGCGGGATGGCACATGAGCCCCGGTAAGGGAAATCGCGAGTTTGAAGCCAATCTGTAGTTCTGAATTCCGCTCATATCTAAGAATCCTTATGGTTGTATTTCACATCTCACTCTGCAACGAAAGATAGAATAGACAGAAAATAAAAGTTAGAACATCGTAAAATAAAAGTACCGCATCAGCATGATAATTGTACTGGCGTTGTTCTTGTAATTTTCTCTGTTTAATGCACCAAAACAGTAGGAACACGACCATAATTGCCTGAAATGAGAAAGAACCTTGCCATTAGCTCCGATCTGGACTTTATTTCACTAAAAAAAGCGAAACTTAGACGTGGTGTTGTTTTCACATCAGAATATGGATATAACAATCGAAAGAACTACGCGCTAATTTTCAAGATTGCGAACAATTTGTAAAACATCGAATAAAGCAACACATACTACTTGCTTGGATACTTGGATGACCCGTCCTGGTTGTGCGGGCCCCAGCACAATCTCCATTTTCAGAGTTTTGCTAGCTTAGCGACTGTGGTTCCCTGGAGTCCTGAGGTCATCTAGGCTAAAATCTGTCCCAGGTTGTCACCACCACAGGCAGTCGCCGCCCTTGTAGATCAGAGGGAGATTCACCACAGTGCGACTAATTCGACGCCAGGAGACGGTAGTGAATCCTGGTAATGGTTAACTTTTTGCTAGACTTCCCCATAGAAAAGCCAGCCTTCTTCTCAGCTTGGGAGACCCTGCCAGGGGATGAATCCCTTCGCTGTACATCGCAACACGACACTCAGAAACACCTCCCAGCCACGATGAGGCGGTAAATCGTTTGAAAGTGTCTTATATTTTTCTTTTTTCCTGTCACAGAGGACACATAGCATACTAGAAATGTCTCCAATGCCCGAAATTTCCGTAATGTCAAATACTTGGAACATTTTGCGATACTTTCTAGTATCTTGTTGCGCGTAAGTAAGCAAATCATCAAACCCAATCGTTGACATCGTAAGAAATTGAACGGAAACATTTTCAGGCGCACCATGATAATCCCAACGATACTAAAGATGACAGTAATCCACTTGAAGTAGTTCTCTTTAATCCTGGATCGGCACCATGGCTGTGAACCTTTGTTCCACTCAAAGCGATACGAATTTGGATTATTGTAATCCACCACAATACCACCTGGAATAATCATGAACAAAAAAGTCAAACGTCACAAATTGGGATTACATTAGAACAAGTGGAATAATTGAAATAACACTTGTATAAATTAGTATTTTCATTTTTTCGAACTAGCAAGAATATCGTATGATAACTGTTGAAAAAACATTGAAAAGGAAAAGCATCTAAAGACAACAGTCATCTCCGCCAGGAATCCGAGCTAGAAGCGTGACATGAAGACCACCACACTTACAGTTCGATTCCTCAACAGACTCTTTTGACATCAATTTCCAAGCCCTTTCAAAGACGATGACGATATCAGGGTTTGATACGACTGCTGTACAGGTCATCAGGAAAAAGATGAGCGATATAGACAACCAAATCACAAGCCTTCCTTAACCGTGGAAAGCGTACCAAGTTATTAAATAGAAAACACTTTGAGATGGAAAGGTGACATACATCAAATATTTCTCAACGCCGAGATAAGCGAAAGTCGATCTTAAGAATTAAACGATAAGTCCTTTTTATTCGTGGAAAGAATATCAAGCCATGAAAAAGTTTGTGGTAAGAGAAACAGGAGCTGGAAAGGAAAGATCCTTTGAGCCACAAAACGTTAATCCATAGAAGTCCACAACTTAGAAAAGTCGCCATGTGGGACCACTTCGTGGTGACATTTTTTTTAACCGGAAAGGAAATCATTGGCTGAAATAGGAACTACCTAAAGACAAACCATATAAAGAACGATCAAATCCTTACAAAAAAAATGATCTTCGTAACATTTCTTGAGATGTTTGTAATACTATTCTTTGTACTCTATCTAGCCACCATTTCTTATAGGTGAAAATCCAATGAAGCCACCACATGAAGAAGAACTTGTTATTAGAAAATAATGCGTGTATAGCCAGAGTATCCTAGAAGAACTCCCAAATGACTAATACGACTGAAAAAGACATCGAAAAAGTAGAAAATGCTTGTTAAGAGAATTCTAAACTAGGCACCATATTCCAGTCCTTCAATCGGACAATTTAGATCACATCTCCACCAACAGCAAGAGCATACTCGCGAAAAAAACTAGAACAAGATAGATTGCACAACACCTCACTCTGAAGTTAATAGACGCCTGATGCAGAACATCTTTATAGAAAGTCAGGCAATAGTGCAATACGAATGCATGTTGAAGGTAGTTGAGAAAGAAGCTGTCTAATTTCTATCCGTATCTCCTCTAATAGAAGGTTCTGCTGCCAGCTCTTTGGAACGAAGACGAGATTCACTCAATTGCCTGCATGTGGATGAAGCTAATTATGACGAAGTTCTACTCCAATTTTTTTTCGTCCCAAAACTCCTGCACGGAATCTCCACTAGGAGACATCACTCTTTAAAATTACAAGTTCTAGTCAAGATATAGATAAAGGAACAGTTCCGGCAAGACATTGTCACTGCCAACCTCTCCTAAATTGTGAGTCACCAACTACACGCACGTTTGGCCGCTCACGTTATAAAATGCCTTTTGAGGAAAACGACCCGGGCGTAGAACTTCGCATTTCATAGTCCTGCTTAGTGGGAATGACAGAAAGGATCTCCCCGATAATGTAGAACTGACACGTTGAGGGTGCAGTATTAAATTCATGAGTGATATTTAGTAACAAAGTCATCGATTTCTGACAGAATTCGACACCTGAGAAAGAACGATTCCTAGTACTGATTCTGCACGGGGCACATTCAAAGAGAGGGAGGATCATAAAAGGATGATGAGTATTACTACCTATTTAAATCTCTGTCGATAAAGAAAAACGTCCGATGGTTCAAAACGGAATGCCATTGTAACATTGCTCAAATAAACACGAGAATGATACATCTGCCAATGAGAAAGCAGGATTCGCTGCACTGATTCTGCACGAAAAAAACTGCTCATCAAGAACAACAGTGAATTAATGATAAATCACATAGTCCAGGCTTTTCAGATACATATTGTAGTGGATTATAAAAGCCTTAGATCAGAATGAAAGCATGGTGACGGCTAAAAATAAAAAAGGATAAAGCTCTCGGCGTTGATTAATCCCTGAGGGAAACGCCATGCATTCGACTTCATTAAGCATTGTTGGAGATGATTGAGTGCATATATGGCCTTTGCAATCACTTGCGGTTGCCTATCGATGTATCGAACCACTGCTGCTCTCCTCCCAGACAAGTCTGGTACCAATTTTCCGACCCAGGAGGTATGGAAGGCCTGGTGGGCCACGGGCGCGGGGATCGACCACATGTGTAGTGCAGGACGCCTCAAACCAATGCACCACACGCGCCCATAGGACCACTTTATAGAACACAGAAAAAGCAAGATATGATGGTAGGGAGGGAATGAAACAAATTCATGCTAAATGCACATGGTTAGCAAGACTTGCTAATACAAGTCATCCAAGGGGGACCGTGATCAGCTAAGAACTTCAAGAAAAGTGCTTTAAGGTCAAAAGGCACAAAAGGAACAGGACGAGAGTGAGCACGTAGAACAGTACTGAAAACTGAGCGTGTCAACCCTGCAGCCCATCTTGCATGCAAGCAAGTACAGCTTGTTATTATAGATTGAAAGCGTAAAGAATTATACTCACATTTGTATTCGTTGTCACCTTTGACCCAATGTGTCTGATAGCAGCCAAAACGAGCAACATCACCTTGAAGATAGCCTGGCGCCAGCGCAGGCGTCTTCATCATGTATTCAGGATACTCGATGTTAATCGCGCCACAACTATTGTCTGAAAATCATTTTCCATTTTTATTAACACAAATGAATCAAAGCACCCACTATATTCATATCAGGTGAACATACATTGTCTGATAGCATCCATTCGTTCCGTCGCAAAACTGTTCCAAGCGTCTTGTTCTTCAAAGGCCAGCACCTTAGACTGCAGCAACGCATAGTTGTATAGACATGGCACCTGAACCGTTTTTTGCTTGCATTCTAATATGTAGTACGTTTTAAGAACTTTATGGAATAATTCACTTTCCAGAAAACAACTAATGTACCCCAAGCTTGGTAATTTGGCTCTATGGATGTTCAAGCCATCTTGGCTCTCCAATTCAAACACCAAATAATTTGCATAAGTGTGACAACCACATTATTATCCATTACTGTAATTCAGAAATAGTAATTCTGTGAAATTTCAATTCAATTCTGTGAAAATTATGCCAAAATCTTCAGTGTTTCAGCCTAGGAAAACTTAGCATTGTCCTTCGCCCCAATAGACCGATCGAGTATAGAGTTTCTAATAAGTGTGTTTTGTTGTCATCAATTCATGAAATACTGTAGTTAATGGAAAAATAGCAGCTGAAGTCAAAAAACAAGCATGATCACAAATTTTTTAAGCTAAAAGGGAAATTACTAAACTTGGGCTCTGATCTTATTACGGATAAACACTCGAAACTAGAAAGGCGAGAAAGATCAGATTTCAGTTCTATGGTCCCCATGTCCATATTAGAAAACCCAGATTTCCTTCTACATTTGTTCGTTAACACATTCACGACTTGATCATCTTTCGACAACTATTGGTGTTGCCATAACTAGAGCACTTGAGGAGTTGAGAAATGATACGGGACAGGCTCTACTCTCGTTTCCAGGATTCCACTAGAGCAATGATCTAATGGAATACGTTGTCTCTCCAAAACATCACTTAATTTTGAAACAGTTCAAAATCTAAGTACTTAGTCAAATAAATATTTTGCAAGAACTTCGTGTTAGCCTACCAGTGAAACAAAGTACATTGACCATGTATACCGAGGTTAAGTGAAAGTCATTTTACAATTATATTACTCTCTAAGGAATTCTGATTGTTTCTAATTCCATTATAAGTTTTTTGGTTACTCTAGAAACAGTAATTTCAAATCAACAGTCTCAGTAGTAATAATTTAACTTTAGAAACAGTTACAAAACAGAGAGCTATTTGAAGGGAATCTGTAAAAAATGCTCTCGGCGTTGATCAATCCTTTAAGGATGCGCCATGCACTCGATTATATTAAGCATGGAGGTGATTGAATGTGTATCTGGCTTTTACAAATGACTCGCGGTGGCCTACCGATATTTCGAGCCAGTGCTGTTATCCTCTCAGACAAATTTGGCACCAGATTTCCGACCTCGGAGTGATGGAAGGAACGGCCGGCTGGGAACGCGGGAATCGACCCTGTGTGCGTTGCAGGACGCCTCCGACCGATGCGCCACACACGCATAAGGAAATCAGTAGCAACTATGAACTCCAGCACAATTTCGGGACAGTGTCTGAGCACATCATTTTGAACAAATAACACCGATAGTTAAAAGGCTTCGGATGTCAAAGAAAGTGCCAGCCAAAATACTCAGCGAAGGCTTCGTCAAACCCACTGTGAGATTCAAGCACCTGTATAACTACAAATCTTAACAATCAAGCAGTTGCTGTAAATATCTTCAGAAAACATGGGAAAAACCAGAATTCTATCGTAAAGAAATATTAATAACTAACTAAACAAATTATATTTCGTTACCAAGAATCCATAATATTTTAAGTCCTAGATCAAATACCGTCACTCATAGTCTCATTTCGTTTACTCTCTCCTACACTGAGATAAAATCGGAAAAAATTGCAGTGAATAGTCGATTGCTTGAAAATGTAGGAATAGTAGGAATAGGAACCTTTTAGAATTTAAGTTCACAGATGGTATATAGTGGAACTAATAGGTAAGACTTCAACAGTTTCAAATCTACCGAATTTGAGCTCATTTTCTTCGTCGTTATGATTACGGGCTTACAGGACGAATTTCTTTGCAACAGTAGACACTTCAGTGAATTAGTATTTGCTCTCTTTTCAGAGTGTTTTAAGCACGTTCTTGCCTATTTTTTTATCCTCATGAATTGCACTGTGTTCATTACTTTCGAAGGAACAGAGTAGACCGTCAACTTACGCTGTCGCCACAGTCGCTGATGATCGACGAGGCGTCGTCGGGACAGCGTTGCAGACCGTACTGTAGATTCATGGCGCTTTGGAACGGTTGCAGGTTCACTAAAGGCATCTACTATGCAGATTTAACCATCCAGATTCTAGTTCATTCATCAGGAAATGCTGCATTTCTACGATGAAATCTGCGAAAATGTAAGGAAAAACTTCCGGTAATCTGTGAAAGTTTATCATCGAGTTCCTCAAGATAAAACGTCTACCAATGACTGGAGAAAGATGATCAGTGGAATTCCACGATAAGTAACTAAAAGATAATAAGAACTCAAAACACTTTTTAAATGAAGCCTTATGCGTATTCATTTGTAGCTAAGGAACAAGCAATTACTGTTAACCATGAATTGCGTCTCTCAATTTTGTCTTTCAAAATTTTATTTTATAATAAACTGCTTCCGCTAACCTGTTTATTCGTTCAAGTCGATAAAAGCCATGGGTAGTTTCTCATCTTCTACTGATTTTACTACTGTTGTAAACTTCTTTATTGATAAAGTAGGGAACCTACGTGCTATATCTTCCTGCAAACCACGGCAGTTGCTAAGCTCTTGATTGATGTCCACCCCCGTTTGTGGGTCGAATCGATACTGACCGCTAAGAAATAACTTTATAAAAGACGGGAACAAAAGATGAAAATGAAAAAAATTTGCACTATCAATGAGTTCTACGTGAAGTGCAGATGCGCATCAACCATGTAATCTTCGTGAACTTGTGACCTCTAGGCGCATCTAGCTCAATGTGTATAAATGGCTAACCAAGCCTGTCACCCTGACCAGATGATCGGCAAGTTAATACCGGACTTGTCTGAGAGGATAAAAACGCTAATTTGATACATCCCTAGCTAAACCTCTAAGATTATTTCATACGCCAATTATGGACTCAGCCAGATTTATGAATGAGGTTAAATGCATACAGCATCAATGAAGGAATAATCAACAGCGATCGCTTCATTCCTCACACTTATCTTTCAAAATCTTACTATCTATGTTTGAGTAACTCCTAAAGGTGGAAAATGCTTACCTCCTAATTGTTAAATTACCCCAACATTAATGATTTTAATCCATGAAGGCCTTCAAAATACATGCGAACACTTCCTTACATTTTGCCTTCGCTTGTCGTTTGAGAAAACGAAGCTTGGAATAAACAAACTTAGGTTTTAGCGGTAACAGAACACAGGACAGTCATGTAAGCAATCAGAGTTTCGAAAAGGAATCAGTACAATAAACCATATCCACTCGATAATAAGACTCATTGAAGTATCGCGAAACTACGAAGGGCGCTCTGTGTCACTTTCATCGATTTAAAGGCGATTGACTCAGTTGAGAAAGCAGTCATGGAAGTCCTGGAGAGTCAGGGATTCTCTACTCAGCATATAAAGATTCTCAGTGAGCTGTATGAAAATTACACAACCAAGATATCACTATTCTACACGATATTAACACTGACGACAAAAGCGGGATCAGGCAAGGCGGTACCGTCTCGCCAAAATTATTCACCGCCACAGTCCATAACGTCATGCGAACATTGCAATGGGACAATACGGGAGTGAAAATCGACGGTCAGCAATTACACCACCTTCGCATTGCTGATAACATTGTTCTTATAACAAAAAACACTAGCCAAACGGAAGGAATTCTTGGCGGTTTTGATAAAGTCTGTGGAAAAATTGGTCTTCGACCAAATCTCATAAAAATGGTATTCATGGGAAACATAATGATTTCACATGCCCCACTTGCTCTCAACGGAGTAAATACTTCCGAATGATCCAACAACGTCTATCTAGAACAGAAAGTCAACATGATGAACCCTAGAGTTGAGCAGGAGAAAGTGAGCGGCTTGGGGAGCTTTCAAGAGCATCGAGGATGTAGCGAAGAGGACAAAGAACACCTGATTCTGCGCCCACCTTTTTGACTCCATGATTCTTCCTACCTTATCGTATGCTTCAGAAACTTGGTCGCTACGCAGGTAGGGTGAAAGATCACTCAGCGTTATTGAATACGCAGTCTAAATGGAATTGCTAAGAGTGTCTCACATCACGTAAATGAAATACGGGACCAGACGCTCTAATCTACGTTAACAATCGAGGTTCAAAGACGGTGTTCTATATGACAAGTTGTAGGAGATAAGGTGGGCCGAAAACGTAATGCGTATGAACGAAAACCGATGGAAAAAAGCCGTTAGTGACTGGATTCCTCGGGATGTTAAACGCACTGCAGGAAGACCACTGACTCGATGGTCAGAGTTCTTCACGAAAAGCCTAGAACAAAGATATGATGCTCGACAAGTCCCAAGAGCGAGCACAGCCCACTGGGATACTTTTTGAACGCGACAGAGAAAAATGGAAGATTTACTGGGGCCTGCTCGAGTCACTCGACAGTCAACGAGATTACAGGTGGTACAGGTGATGGATCTGTACATTTCCTCGCAACCTAATATTTATACAGCGATTTCTTTGACACCTTATAGACCTAAGCAAAGAGCCAGAATATTTTGTTAGGAATGTTTCTCCAAGGATGTGTTTGGACCTTTCCTGAATGGCATACGAGACCGCTGAGTTCACTGCAAAAAATTGTGGTACTTACACATCATACATTGGAGCCATTTTATAAATGGGTCCAGAACGAAGGTTTGCCTCTGGAAAAACATCAAACTTTTTGTCCTCGTCCTTGCTTGTGGTGAACATGTTGTCCGATGGCAGCCCTTGTGATAGTGTGCCTACGGGATTTTGTTCAGACCCCGGTTCTCCTGAGCCAACAATGCGATCTGAATACAAGCCTCTCAGTCGCATTCTACCTTGGAAGACCGCAAAAATAGAGTAACCAACAGTTATTAATAATTTGCTGTCGTATTGTTTCTGAGTTCACATCGTTGAGGGTGAGGCCTTGAAATACAGAGGCACTAGTCTGATCAGGAAACGGCCTCATAAGTCCGCTGATGCGTGGAAGGTCGTAACGTTGACGCTGTTCTGTTTCACGCGTTTTGTCGCCATCAGGTCTCTGAATAGATCAGATTTGTCAACATGTCTATTAGAAAAACATGTAATGCTGATGGATGTCTTTAGTCAATGTTTGATAAGGCACTAATAACCTACTTCCTTACTATTTGTGCTTTCGTGAGTTTTTTCTAGAACGCTGACGATCTCTAACTGTTCTCGCTTATCCTTATGTTATTAGTTCCATCTAAATCCTTTCTTTTCACTACAAAGTCTATGAACAAAACTCACAACTCCATATTGTGGTGGTACTGCCAGCTGAACATCCAGCATACCCATGCTTTCTTGGTACATCGCCAATCTATCGATGTCTAAAGCATAGCTCTCACGGATTCTGACACCGATGTGTGCCTCTTCGAGAACGACGTAAATTTCCGGTTGACCACGCTCGACGTTGTTTACATAGACGAGTACCCCTAGAAGGACAAAGCAGACTGTTTGCAGTAGTTAGCTTGATATATGAAAACCACTGACGATAGAAATTTCTTTGAAATCTTAATTTACAAAAGTTGTTACATATATCTCCGTTACAGAAAATAAAAGCCTACCCGTTTCGCTAACAAAAGCGCCAATTTTTTCTTTCACCATTTTTTATGATGATATGACACTTGACATGGCTCGTTCACACTGGTTGTGCGGGCCTCAGCATAATCTTCATTTCTCGGAAATTTGCTGGTTAAGCCATTGTGGTTCCCTGGAATCCCGAGGTCAACCTGGCCAAAGTCTGCCCCAAGTCTTCACCACCGCAGCCAGTTGCAGCCCATGTGGATCAGAGGAAGATTTGTCACTATGCGACTTTGATGCCAGGACAGTGGTGGATCCTCCTATTGGTTCACTCTTAGCTAGGCTGCCTAATGGAAACGCCGGATTACTTCTCAGCTTGGAAGACCCTGTCAGGGAATGAATCCTTCCCTGTACAGCGCAGTCCGATATCCAGGAACACCTCACAGCCACGATGAGGCGATAAACCGTTAGGACGTCGAGGATATGATATAGTAGTTGTAAAATTTAGGTATGCCATCTAAATGTGTGTGTGTGACGTCGATTCTAGTCAAGCAGTTAATATATTGCAAAATAAAGCAGTACAATATTTTCGCATAGAAAAATCAGAAGAGACAAAGACAACTATGATAGAATAACTACAATACTTTAAAAACCAGCATATTTTAATTTTAAGAACTTATCGAGAACAATCTTCCAATGTATTTATTTATGTGATCTTATAAACTGATCTTCTTAAGCTGACGCGAAGTTGGTACAGATCCTCGTTGTCGTTGTCGCTGTTGTTGATGTTGTTTGTCGATGGCTGACGTTTCGGCAACTTCGTCTTCCCCAGAGCCTGGACGTATTTTATATTGGAATATTTTTATTACTCGGTGGAAAAAAGGTTAAAGTATTAATGAAGATCAAACTTTCAAATAGACGCCATATTGAACAGAAAGGCTCACTCACTGTGATGTTACGTGTGGAACTGGACCATGTGTTGTTTTCGTGGGGTCGCAAGCAAGACACATCCCAGGTTCAAAATATCATTTTGAAATAGCGCGCCAGGTCACGCGTGTCTTTAAAGACAAATGCCTCACTACCACGCGTGACTTGGCGCCCTGTTTCAAAGTGATATTTTGACCTCAGCGTGTGTCTTGCTTGCAACCCCACGAAAACAACACATGGTCCAGTTCAACACGTAACATCACAGTGAGTGGCCTTTCTGTTCAATATGGCGTCTATTTGAAAGTTTGATCTTCATTAATACTTTAACCTTTTTTCCACCGAGTAATAAAAATATTCCAATATAAAATACGTCCAGGCTCTGGGGAAGACGAAGTCGCCGAAACGTCAGCCATCGACAAACAACATCAACAACAACGACAACGACAACGAAGACCTGTACCAACTTCGCATCAGCTTAAGAAGACCAGTTTATAAGATCATACAAATAAATATATCAACTATCTATGCAGAGGTTTATAGAAAGTCGGTCTTTCGAGTTATCAAGGAAATATTCCAATGATTTGCTGCTGAAAGGTGTTCCTGGGTGTCGGGCTGCGATGTACAGTGGGGGATTCATTTCCACCAGGGTCTCCCAAGCTGAGAAGGACCCCGGCGTTTCCATCAGGAAGCCCAGCTAAGAGTTAACCAACACCGCTCTGGTATCAAACTAGCCGCATGGTGGCAAATCTCCCTATGATCCACAAGGGTGGCGACTGCCTGGAGTGGTGACGACCTCTTGTAGAGTTTGGCTAAGCTGACATCGGGAGTTTAGGCAACTATAACGGCTAAATCAGCAAAATGCCGAAGAAATGGAAACTATGCTGGGGCGCACAACCAGTGAAAACGGGTCATCCAGTCATCCAAGTATCGAAAATGAAGATATGACACTCAATTCAAGTAGAACATCACCACTAACCTTTAAACCTTTGCAACCTAATTGTATCGAAATATCTGAGAATATTGCCAACAATGATATCAGTACGGTAACGGAAGCGTCGTGTATCCTTTCGTGCTACAACGTGGACTCTATCGGTGCCACTAGCCTCCAGAGCAATGCCTATAACGAATCTAACGGACCGATAGATTACCCTTCAGACATATCTTATCCTTGTCTCACCAGTTATTACAGTGGCATTTGTAGGCTGTACCAGCTCGGCTTGAGAAATATATCGACCTAGTAGTCCAAAATCTACCTGAAAGATAGAATTCAGAAAAAGTGTAGAAGGTAAGCATGAAAGAGTGATATCACCTTTCTGTTAGGATATCTTTCCATGCGCACTTGAATACGCACTTCCGGCGTTCGCACAGTTTTCGGTATGTAGAGGAAGTTATAGACACCAGGTTCATTGAATATGAACTTATCGTTATCAATAGTATTGAAAACACCAGCACCAGTCACTTGTCCTATAAAAGTAACGAATTCAATAACTAATAGCTGGAAAGGTAAATTTTAAAGTGGGATTCTTTAGCAGCATCCTAGTAGCACTGCTACCACATTCAGTTAATGCGATCCTTGGAACTTTTAGATATCCAATTCCCCAGCCATCCTTGGCAATTTTCTACTTAAAACACTGATGAACGAAAACTAATCTAAAGTGAACGAGTGAAAAGAGCTTAGAAATCTCTTTAGAAATCATCAATCGAACCGGTTGCAGAGGGCTGATACTCCTGACAGGCAGATGACGGACGTCTCCAATAGAACATTTGGCATCGAAAATCGGCAAATTTACAGCACAGAAAGTAGGGCATATAGTCGTTATGGAACACGGAAAGACCAGGCACCTAAACTCAATGCTTTAAAAAGGTTTCAATTAAGGTTGCCTCTCTTGTAAAACTGGAACACAAGTGATAAACATCGTATTTTTGTTGAGCAAACGCGAGGTGTTACTATTCTTTGTTCACGATTAAGCTGACGTTTCGGCGGATTTCGCCTTCTTCAGAGCCTGGAAAGGTCAAGTTGATAGCAACTCACTCGTCCAGACGCCTCCATAACCAAACAAAGAAACTCCAAACCAAGATTTCAATCACTTTGAACACAGCTTTGCACATTCACCGCTTTCTATGAGGTTTCCACTAAGTATGTCACGCAGAGACCAACCGCACAGAAATCACGTGGAAGTATAATGTGCCCCTCACATCAGAAAAGCAGTTTTATATACTGCCAAATATCACGCGTGATAATGAGGCATTCTTCCCTGCGGTTCATTTTCGGATTTCTGGAATTAATCCAGAATGCCTCGAGAGTTTTTCGCGCCTGTGTTCTTGATTCGCGTGCGAGGATCGTGACACATACTTCAAAGTCGTCCCCGTTATGTCTCTGGGTCCTATGCGTGCCTAGCTGGGTATTTGGTCTATTTTTGCCGGCTAGGTGTTCTTTCATGCGGACACAGAGGGGTCTACCCGTTTCGCCAATGTATTCGTCACCACACGTCTTACAGGAGATCAGATAAACTATACCCGAGCTCATGCAATCACCGTCTCTACCACTGGGGCAAATTATGCAATTTTGAGTTGCACATAGACGGTCATATAGGCGGTTACGAACTAGCTGGCGCTTAAGATTACTCGGTGGTATTTCAACTACGCTCACCGAATTCTCTAAGTCCGCCCTTCTTAAGCAGCGTTTTATAGCTGTACTTATATCATTTGAGATGAAGGGCAGGATAAACGAGACCCTTCTATCGCTAGAGTTGTCGTTTGGAGGCCTACGATTTCCTCTACACCTATCCTGAGCTACAATTTCGTAGCCATTAGAAATGGCTATTTGCCGTGCCAAGTTCCGGGACTCCTCTCTCTGCTCTCTTCCCGTGCACACGTTGGTTGCTGTTCGAAACATGTTTCTTATAAGCGCCCTTTTCGTGTGAGAGGGGTGAGAGGAGAGGTAATGAACCAAGATATTTTTACTACTTGGCTTTCGGTACCACTTTGTAATGTAGCCATTTTCTGATAGGTGAATTTGTACGTTCAAAAATGGAGGCCATTTTTCTTTCTTCATTACCTTACCTCCATTACCATTACCTGTGCAAAGCTGTGTTCAAAGTGATTGAAATCTTGGTTTGGAGTTTCTTTGTTTGGTTATGGAGGCGTCTGGACGAGTGAGTTGCTATCAACTTGACCTTTCCAAGCTCTTAAGAAGGCAAAATCCGCCGAAACGTCAGCTTAATCGTGAACAAAGAATAGTAACACCTCGCGTTTGCTCAACAAAAATACGAAGAAAATCACTTGATCAATGCCGAGGTTAATAGAAAGTCGGTCGTGGCAGTTACAAGTGATAATATACTTTCCTATCAATTCTTTGGCACCCCATAGGTTACCCACGCGCAGATCTAACTCATCTACTAGCTAACTTTAGTGCAGTGCTTATCAAAGAAATGAAAGAAAACGTTAGCAATTTCAACATGACTTATTCAGATCAACATCGCCACCACGATGTTTTCTGATAGAGGTCAAGATCTCCAAGAAATTTCCAAAATACGTCTTACCTCAAACTGTCCCATATAGGGTGGTGTGCCAAATTCGTATGCTCTCAGCGGATAACCAGGATTGTAGAAATACTCCTTCTGAGTTTTGATGACTGGTTGATAAGGCGTTTGCATAAGGTATCCTGACTCGTCATAACAACACACTTGGCCGTAATGAGTCATGAAACGTCTGCAAATGTAAAATCAACAAACACTTTCTTAAATCTTCCGAAGAAAAAACTAAAGTAGCAGTCAAATACAACCACAAGGATGCTGAGATACCAGCAAAACTCGGAACCTCAACTGGACCTCGAACCTACCCTACCCTAATCAGTGTCTCACGTGCTATTCATCACACTAACCGAGGTCCTTACTTCGTTTTTCTCTAAAGAAAGGAACTTTGCTCAGGTGGGGTTCCGCTTATGTCTCAGTATTCTTGAGCATGGATTTCATACAATACCCTGCCATTAAAGAAGAATAGACAGTAAATAAAGGTTAAACCAGTAAGGTCGCAGTTTTCAATAAGCCTTAGAAACAACCACGAATAAATTCTTGTATGTACAACATCCGTGCGAATCTCGCTAATGCTTCTGCAAACTTTAGCTACCCATAGTCCAAATTTCTCTGCAACTTGCTCGAATTAACACCTTGGAATTATCAAAAATTGGAATTTAAGTAATGGTACAACCTTGTCTAGTTTTATTTCCGCAACATTAAGAAAATACAGTGATTTCCTTACGAGTAAATCTCGTTACCAAAATAAGTTGTGTCGAAATCATAGTATAAAAGTTCTATCCCAGGATTTCAAGGTGCCTCAGACTTGCATACGATATGCATAGATGGCATCATTTCTCGAGATCCACTTCCTTTATTAGATATCCGAGACTGGCAAGATGATACTTTCTACGACTTTTTATAGCATATCGTTGGAAAAAGGATCTAAGAAAATGTCAACTTTACAAGCCTCGGATTCCTAATAAGGGTGGTGACTTTAGAGAAATGATGCTATCTAGTGAACTCTCAAACATGGTCTGACGTAATCTGCTTAATTGTATCATAGAGGCCTGTCCCGGTGTGCAACACTATTTGAAAGAAAAGCACACGTACGAGGTATCCATATTGTCGAAAGTGTTTCCATCACCGGCATACGATCCATAGATGTTTTGTGCTGACATGTAGCAATTTTTCGAGCCAATGACTGATGTGCACGTGATGTCACGGAATGTCTACAAAAATTTTTTAAAACACCAATAAAATACGGAAACCAACGATATTCAGTGATACGTGAATTTGGAGAAACGATACGATTCGATTAAATTGGTTTGAGGCATACCTGAGAACACCTTGGATGTGGCATGAACCGACCGAGGTCCAAACGTGCTTGCGTTTCGATGCAAGGGCAACTCGAATTCGTTTCCGTATCGCGGATAAAGTTGAATAGCGCTCCATCCTCATCGAACCTTGACAGTGATTTGACTCGCATGACTGCGCGAATAGAAACAATGCTCTTCTATTTACAGTGTCTGTATACCCTTGGAACGGAAAAAATTTCAAAAACTGTCTTCAAGTTGATATATCTATTTATGTGGTCTTATAAACTGATCTTCTTAAGCTGACGCGAGGTTGGTACAGATCTTCGTTGTCGTTGTCGTTGTTTTTGATGTTATTGATCGATGGCTGACGTTTCAGCAACTTCGCCGATTGCATGAGTTTAGGTATAACATACTTGATCTCATGTAATGCATGCGGCGAGGAATATATCGGGGAAACGGGTAGACCACTTTGTGTCCGCATAAAAGAACATCTAGACGGGAAAGTTAAAATCCGTTTAAACACCCCTCTAGGTGCGCATAGGGCACAAAAGCACAACGGCGATGATTTTGAAGTGAATGTGCGGATCCTAGCGCAGGAATCGAAAACATCAATGCGCAAAACTCTTAAGACGTTTTGGATAAATTTCAAAAATCCAAAGGTGAACCGGAAGGACGAATACCTCACTATCACGCGTGACCTGGCGCTCTATTTCAAAATGATACCGGGGTCAAAATATCATTTTCTGTACCAACCTCGCGTCAGCTTAAGAAGATCAGTTTATAAGATCACATAAATAAATATATCAACTATCTATGCCGAGGTTTATAGAAAGTCGGTCTTTCGAGTTATTGAGAGATGTCTTCAAGTTACTCGAGAGTTATTTTCTTAAAAAGACTTGTTGTTTGAGGACAACTCCTTTCAACATCACAGAGTTCCACTAAGCATGTGCGAATATTATTATTATCTTTGTGTGTCTATGAGATAAGAGGTGTTGGTAAATTGATATTCACGGACACAGGCTCTAACCTCTTTCGTCTTCGAAGACTGTTACTAATCGGATTCCAATATTACGAGTTGGTGAGAGATACCAACAAAAAATTCTAATTAACTTCACTTTACAAGAAAACTACATAAAATTTTAGTGGACAAAGAGCATTCCTACAAGCATTTCATAAATTTCACTTGAGATAGTGCTGTTGCAAAAGCTTTCCCCTCGGATAAAAAAAAATAAAAGAAGTGTATTCTAACTTACCAATCGTGACACATTTCTCTAGCTTTTTGTGAAACAAACTCAGTTCGTTGATCCCTTTCCTGTTGTGAAAAGGTAGCCTGGCCAAAACGATTGTCCTCAGGAGACCAAAGCCAATGTAGAGAAATCGGTGCCGTCACCAATCTACCAATACGATTCAGTACATTTTGCCGCAACAATACCATTCACTCAGGAAATCGGGTTACTCATTTCGAAGAAATCCATGAATTAAACTAGATCGTGATAATGTAAGATATATTATCGAAGAGAACATATCGTGGATAACTTCTTGTGCAGGTCTTCAAGTGAGTTTTATTATTTACTATTAAGGGAAGTGAGTTCATGGGTGTATACATGGTGAGGTATTCTGAACAGAGAACACTATGCAGAAAAATGGAAAACGCTAAGGGAGTGTTTAAAAAGTGTAGGAGCAATGTACGCTGTTAGCATGACAACTAAGTGTTGGTTAGAAGACTGAAATACAGAGCGGATAAAGTGTAAGCTAAAGTACACCATAATATGAAGCGTACCCTGAAAGCAGCTCTGTTCCATTCATGTCATTCGGTCTTATAGGTGCCAACTTCAGATAGCCAACTCGGTAGGTGTAAAGTGTATTCCAACGCTCCCAATCAGTTAGATACCATTGTTGTACCTAGAATGGATAACATAATAGAACAATATTATGATACAATAATGACGATTAGCAAAATAGTCTTACTTGGTTTAGGTTTATGACCTCTTCCTGTGGTTTCCATCGATATTCATAACTGTTCCGATTTGTGTAGGTAGCCAAACGTGCGAGTGTACGATGTTCCGGACGAAACTTCTTGATCTAGAATAGTGTAAAAATTGCAACTTGTGAACACAGTGAGAAAAAAAAAGCAACACCGAAGCCATGGAAAGAATCAAGATGGGCAAGGGATTGGCGATTAAGAGAACTGAAGTTGGACACGAACGGTAGCACTAGAAAAAAATCCTTGTAGAAGACTGGCAATACCTCATCGTCCTTGTACTCCCTGTATCCAATCACATAAAGGCCAAGCTGAACGCCATAAAGCGCGTCGTCTGAGATTCTTGTGCCGACTTGATTAAGATTGTTGAATAATTCCGGATTTGTAAAGTTCCTTGGATACCATGTAATTGGCATCAACTGCAATTTACAGAGTCGTAACAAGTTCCGTAATAAAATCTGAAAAATCTTTAGCCTTCTTCTTTGTCTCTGGTGACTTCATCGAAACAGTACGGGGTACTACTTACTACATACATTCGGTCTCGACCAGCTCGACTTCCCAGGGGGCACCAAACCCGATCAGTATTCGAGACAAGAGAAAGGAAATATCTCAAAGCTGCAAATGAACCCACAAGCGAAATTGGCTACCCATGCGGATAATAATTGTTGGATAGATATTCCACCTTTTGTGGTTACGCTTTCTTTATGATGATTAGTATCCGGTTGAGTGAATGCAGGTTGCTTTCATGATTAGCACCGTTATTCTTGCCAAAGACTATTTTCATCAAATAGATAAATATAAGATCGCTCTAGTTTAAAGGGCCAACCGACTTCACCTATTCGGATTATCGTCTTAATGAATTTCGTAACAGACCATCGAAAATACACTAAAACGTAAAATTGAAGTCGAAGCGTAGTGCCTTCTATATTAGCCGAATTAGTGGACCTACGTCGAATATCACACTAAATGAAAATAATTTCACAATATCCACTTTCTATTTACTGCCGTTTACAAGTTTCCACGGCAGGGTATTATTTGTGAAATTATATCAATCCTGTTAACGGATGATTGCTGATGGCAGTGATTGATAGAACTAGCTGAGAGGCAGGCGAAACGAACGAAACGAAGGACTCCTATGGTGTGGTGGTCCGTTACTCCCCAGAAAGGACAATAGCGCTTTCGTTCCCCACCGCAGACACCTCCGGTCCGGAAATTAATTTCATTTCAAAGAAATTATACTTCTAGGCAGCCGTCATTTTGTAATAGAACTTAGTTGCGAGTCTATGTCAGTGAACCCAATAAGTAAAGCTGAAGAAAATAAGCCGCAAAAACGATGAAAATAAACGAACAAAAAAAATTAAGGTGTACCACTTAAATGAAGAGTATGCATCGAATGCTTTTGCACAAAAAAATATTCAATACCAGAAAAATAAAAAAAGGAAATCTCGGATACAACACTCATCAAAAACTCGTACAGTTTCAAAGCTTGGAGAACATGCATGTTTCTAGAGTAGTCGAGTCCATAGCGAATTACTAGCCAAACCGGCTAGTTAACCCGATATCGTCCAGCTGGCTTGGTGCTGGTTCGACCACTAACCAGGCTCACTGAACCCTTCGTACCTTCGGTATCCGAAAAATGGTACCAGACCACCCAAGGAAATGTTCATTTTCCGCATTCCAATTGGAAACACTCTAGCTCGGTTATCACAGGACTCCAAGTAAAATCGAATCAACCAGCATTCCGTTATTCATGACAAAAGAAAAATTCTCAAGCAAGAAGCCAAACCCACATGCAAAAAATTTGAATACTTTCGTGGATGATGAACGCAAGAAAACGAAGAGAATCCAAGAAGTTCTGGGATTTGCAAAGTAGACGTGAAGGACGGATTTTATACGAAAACCACTTTACCGAGTACCCCACACTTTTAGCCATGTGATTTTGGATTTCAAAAAAACCCTCTCTACTATTGAACTATAGCTATCCAAACAGATCCCCTTAACATTCTCACAAACACAATCTAATAAACGTTAACTCACATAACTCGGCATCGGATTTTTATACCATTCGTAGATGTTGCCTATATCCAGTCGTTGTGGATCTAAGGTCGGAGGCACTAAAACTAAAAAGATTCATAGAAGGTTCTACATCACCATCTACAATGGAGCAAAGTTTACCAAAATAGATATATCCAACAAATGCTTTGTCGTCATTGGCCCCTCTTGATTGAGGCTGAAAATACACGGTTTTTGTTCCCCAGTCGTAGATCTTTGGTAGATTGCAACGAGCGATCGCGGCGTTCAGCACATTACAGGTAGCCACCTAGGAACAGACGGAATTTATTCTATGTATTCGAACTCAAACAAATAACTGGTAAATGAACATGAAAGCGGAAGATAATAGACCCGAGCGTTGAGGAGATGTTGGCGAAAAGCTGAAAACTAGTTGTCTTTTTTGTTTGTCCACTAGCCCGAAGGCGATGAGGTGAATACGTGTAAAGTTACGTGTTAGTTAGGAATGAAAGTCTTTAAAAGCATAAAAGATAACGCTTTCGACGTTCATCAATCTCCGGGGGAATGCGTCATGCATTCGGCTTCATTAAGCATCGTTGGAGGTGATTGAATGCATATCTGACCTTTACAATGACTCGCGGTGGCCTACCGATGTATCGAGCCAGTGCTGCTATCCTCCCAGACTAGTCTGGTACCAATTTGCCGACCTCGGAAGAATGGAGGGTTACGTCGGCCATGGGCGCGGGAATCGATTCCACGTGTGTGTCGCAGGGCGCGTCCGACCACTGCGCCACACGCGCCTCTCTAAAAGCCCATGGAGCGCATATTTTCCTCGATGTTTTGATAAAATCTTAGCAAACACCTCATCAACTATTGTTTTTGAAACACTTAAAGAAGAATAAACGCGTGTTCCAGCAAAACAAAGGCGACAACAAAGAATAGACTGTCATAGCAATCAAATCCGTTTAAAAATCAACCATTCTCTACTAAAGTGACTAGATCTGCCAGCCTACCTCTCTTTCTTCTATCATCAATATGTACGTTTGACTACGATCCAAGCAGATTGCGTTAACGTCTACAGTCATCTCACCAAGCATGTTCACAATATTCGGATAGATCATTATCGGATCTGAATGAAGGAAAGCAATCTTTGCCAGACATTTCTTCCCAAAAAATACATAAAACTTTACTTTAACTTAATACTTACTTGCTTACTTAAAAGAATCTGGAATTTTTGCCATTTCTTTAGTGTCTGTTGTGTCACAGGAAATTTTTCTATTAAATACAATGACGAACTCTTTGGACTAGAAAGTGGTTTCCAACGGACTTCTAGTAGGGGCTAAATGATGTTCCAAATACTGATTTTTAAGACAGATCGGTTAGTGCTTAGATTCTTTCAAGAAGATATAATAGAAATAAAGTGCTCTTTTCCGCGTACATCGACGGAGAACTCGCTTAGGCACCTGAGATCAATGGATACCTTCATTGACTTCCTTTCGGCTCATTTCACATTATCGAGAGGACAGATGATACGTTCTTCATGCCCTTCGAAACAGGAGAACTCGCTTGAAAACTAGAGATGAACAGATACGTTACTGAAATCCGCTCGACTCACTCGACGTCATCGAGATAGTGCAGGTATTGACAGATGGGTTATGGTTCAATAGTGGTTACACAATATCTCTCGTCCCTAACATTTGCAACGATGTTGAACTCAGCTGCATAAAAATGTTTTTGGACACAAACCTGAAGGCAAAATGGAACCCAGGTCGTGTTTTTCAGTATTGACATTGCAAATTAAAGACACTGATTTAAAGCTGCTATCTTTTTTGATGAGCAAATACGAGCTTGGTATCACAGAATTTATTAATACAGAATAGCTGGCGCTTCTGCTGTTTCGCCCTCTTCAGCCTGGAGACGTCAACTTGAGATGCAATCTCCTCAATCAAACACTTCCATAGCCTCAGCAAGCAAAACCTAACACATAGATTTCCATTCACATAACAAACAGCTAAAAGCTATTCTGTATTAATAAGTGCTGTAATACCAACCCGCCTACCCCCAACGGTTTACCGCCTCATCGTGGCTAGAAGGTGTTCCTGGGACTGCGATGTACAGCGGGGGATTCATCTCCTAGCACAAGGCCTTCCAATCTGAGAAGGTGTCCAGCATTTCCATCAGAAAGCATAGCTAAGAGTAAACCAATACAAGGATCCACCACCGTCCTGGTATCAAAGTGCATGGTGGCAAATCTCCCTCTGATTAACAAGGGTTACGACTGCCTGTGGTGTTGAGGACCTGCGACAGACTTTGGCCAGGCTAACCGCGGGATTCCACGGAACCACAATGGCTTAACCAGCAAATCTCCGAAGAATGGAGATTATGCTGGGGCCCGCACAACCAATGAGGACGGGCCATTCAAGTGTCAAGTGTCAAGTAATACCAACCTCGCGTTAGCTCATCAAGGAAAGCAGTGAATTATTGATGAATTCCAAGGTTTAAAAAAAGTCGGTAAAAGGATAAAAAATAAACCAGCAACGTGAATTAGTTCAAAGATTTTAAGGTTTAAAAATTGACTTAAAAAGAAGATGGTGCAATAGTGGGAGTAGGACCCAAATCTCATTAACTAACATGCTCCAAGCATAACCGAAGAGAAGAATGCAAAATAAACCTAGACAACGTCGAAATGATTGATGGTATGGAGTACTCAGCAGTATTATTATATTATTACTCATAGTTTTAACATTACTTACATGTTCCTCCAGTTTTATTACTGCATCCGGCCGGTCGAACGACGTCGTCAACGCGGAACATATAACGTCCTCGAACTACATGTGGCACACCTGAACGTTGTGCGAGCACCTGGAATGAAATTCGATCACTTGGAAGCTTATTACTGCTTTCAAAAGAATAGTTATCATATCTGTGAAGAACTAGCTACCTTGCGCTTAAGCCAAAATAACATACATGGAGTACAACTACAATGATGCTGAGATATTTGCAAAAGTTGAACCCCAGGCCAGATCGAACCATCGCTTCCCTTTCCAGAGGCTCAATTGTTACTCATTGCACCATTAGGGCCCATGGAGTACTTTCTTAGTAAAAAAAAAGATACACACATGGAGTACTTTTCCAAAAGTCCAGCGGTCATGATAAGATTAAGTAAACGGAAAATGTGGGTACGCGAGACAAAGTCAACATACGAGTAAGCGCTTATGGTTTAAAAAATATCCGTCTCTTCATTTTTTATTTTTGTTGAGAAAAAACCAAGCACTTATTGAAAAGCGGATGCACAACGAAGGCAGTCAAGCAGCTCTTTAGTCTCCGTCGATTTATACCTACGGTCGATCTGCGGCCGACATGATGGGCAGTAAAGATCGCACTGATCTACAGAATTTTGCCTAGCCTTTATAGATGATAGAACTGTGTACAAGTATAGTTTTTCTTATATTTTTCTTAATAATAGGTTCGTAAGAACGCGAAAATTGCTGGATATCTCAACAGTGGGATTCCCCAACAGCCCCGCATTCTTCTACGAAATCAGTTTCCTCGAAAAACTGGGTATTTATGAAACACTGAAGAAGTTCTTCAAATAGAAATGATGCTAGCTTCTCGCAAAAATCTGGCATAGTTTGAGCTCACAACTACTTTGAAGTTCAAGGTTCAAACTAGCCCTAGATTTTTCAACTACTAAACATTCATCCTTCTCATATTTGAGATCAGACCTGCTTGTTTAACTCCAAAAACAGAGAATTTAAGCGTATTTAGCACGGTGATCACCTTTGGAGTGTTCTTGTACGCTTGTGTTGGATCAACTTCCACAATGCCGGTATGATTTCCTCCATTGAACAGAGCCTGAATACCACGTGTCGTGAAATTTGAGCGGAAAGTCGATTACGTCTACTGAGCATTTATTTACTATGAACATAAAAATGTATTCTTTATATTCTTGTGTAGCAAACATGAGGTGTTATTTTATTACGAGGTGTTGTAAAAATATATCATGTATTCGGTCATTTGAATACTCTGACAAATTAGAGCGCACTCGACAACGTCCACTTCTAGAATTGGCGCGAAAGTCCTGTGCATCGAAGCCAAGCCGGTCGTAGTTGAAGATGACGTAAGAGAGCCGACCCGGCTGATCCGTAAGCCAAATTGCCTAAAGTAAATTTTCGACGAAATGCTACCTAAAAATTTAGTCTATTCCTATTCTGTAGAAAAGTACTGATTGTTAGTAATACTACTCTTTACGGAGACAATCTGAAAGTCGAGTTCAAGACACGTTCTTACGAAAAAGGACGTCACGCTCGTTGTTGTTGAAAAAAATCCCCTCAAAACTTGTTGCTAAGCAGCCAGAGTGCGGTCAGTTTACAAAAACTATTGATTGGTGCTTGACTTCTGAGAGGTTCAAAAAACCTCGACCAGTTGGTTGAGAAGTGAAAATAAGCGTACCTGATAGGTGGCACTTTGGCCAGCGTCGATGTCGGATCGCCCGGCGATGGCCGAAGCCGTGTTGTGCCAGGTGACGACCAGCGCCGCGTCAGCGCGGAACATCGATGCTCCAGCGACACCTTCTAAAAAGAAACACCCACTGAATACCAGAGGTGAAGCGTCGTCCTCGAAACCTAGCTGAGGACCACTTTATTTTATTTTATAAGACCCGTTTTCAGATCTACTGTGTAGATCCCAACACTTCTTGCATTCGGTTTGTTTTTCTCGCGTTCATAGTCCACGAGGGTGTTCTGACATTTCGCGTGCTGTTTCGGCTACTGTTTAAGCATTCCACATTCTTCATGATTGTCACAGAATGCTGGTCGAGTCGATTCTTCTCGTAATCTTGGAGATAGTTGAGGTGAGTTCCCATGTGGACTGGATGAGAGCGATGGTTAGAGGTTTAGAGGTCTTCCTGATGGATTGTGTCAGTAATCTTCGCTAACCACTCCATCCCCGTTGTGGATGCTGGAGACCACACTCCTACCGAATTGACATCGTTTTAACGTATTAATTGTGGAATTGTGAATGAAATCATGACGACAAACCCTTGTATTCATGCTTACTGGACCATTCAGAATCGCGCCTTGGCCTCTCGAATGTTCGATTCACCTATCAAACACGGTATGCGTATAAAAAAATGACTCTTCCCAACTCTTCATGTTTTGGAAAATGTTCCTAATTAAATGGTTTATCTAATTGAAGTCTAAAAATTCCAATACTTTCCATTCGTGCTTACTATTCAAGCTTCTCATTGAAGCATTTCGACAGCTTGGTGCTTAGGCGATAAGTCAGTCAATGAGATAAACGTTTACAGAAGCCTCAAAAGCTGCTGAATCTCTCACCTTGGAGCCATCTCATCATTTCGTCAAGAAAGTAATCACTTTGTGCATCGCAACGAGCATACGATTCCGGTGTTCCAGGGCATGCCTTGAAATAAAAAGCATTTTGTCAAAGTTGCTGTAGGACAAATACTGCCAGAAAACGTACCTGTGATGCACTTTGTCCAAAGAAACTGCTCTGTTGCATAGTTCCCCCTTAAAAATTGGTTTAACAAAGAATTAAATCTCCTTGACTAAAAAATGAGCGAAGCATCATGAATCTACCATTTCTAAAAAAGCTGAATTACGATAACGCCATACCAAGATTCATATTCGAGCCTGATTCTCTGCCGAACAATGATTGACGAAGAATAAGACGGTAGTAGATACCTGCTCGCAGTGCTGGATTTCCGGTTTGTGGAATCTGTCAGGTTACGATATGACGACGCCATCGTAAAAAATTCATAGTCTTACTGTTCAGTTCGTACTTGTTGTTTGCATAAATATGGTGCAATCATTGCCGGGTCCTGCTGCCGCGGCCAATCCGTGCTTTCGGGTCCCACGTTGATTGTTGGCCCTTGATCTAGTACAGTAGCGAAAGCGAGATATCCGTTAACTGAGATCTATGATGAGATCGTCCAAGAAAGCTCGTCGTTACCACTTAGTCATGACTAGAAAAATTATCCTTTCGAAAACTTAAAACTTACAGTAGTGTAGTTGTATAATCCACCATAAAACGGAAAAAACATATGCAGGTCTATCGTCTGACCAGCGGTAAGCATGCCTGGGTTCACTTTGAGATCTCCGGATTCCGGTCCGAATGGCACAAGGTTCACTGAAATACCACTGCCCTAACCACAAGGATGCTGAGATATAAACAAAACTTGGAACAATTCTTTCTACTTCTGTTCAGCAAACACGAGAGGTTACTTTATTTCTTTATTTACATACAGGCTGACGTTTCGGCGGATTTCGTCTTCCTCAGAGCTTGAAAGGGTCATGTTGACAGCAACCTATTCGGCCAAACACCTCCATAACCAAACAGAGAAAACGCTAAACCAAGATTTCAATCACATTTAACACAGCTTTGCACACTCACCGCTTTCTATGAGGTTTCCACTAAGTATGTCACGTAGAGACCAATCGCACAGAAATCACATGGAAGCGTAATGTGCCCCTCCCATCAGAATAACAGGTTTATATACTGTCCAATATCACGCTTGGTAATGAGGTATTCTTCCCAGCGGTTCATTTTCGTATTCATGGAATTAATCCAGAATGCCTCTAGAGTTTTGCGCGCTTGTGTTCTCGATTCTTGTGCGAGGATCGTAACCCTTCAAAATCTTCTCCGTTATGTCTCTGCGTCCTATGCATGCCTAGTGGAGTATTTGGCTTACGTTTGCCGACTAGGTGTTTTTTATACGTAAGCAGAGTGGTCTACCCGTTTCGCCAACGTATTCGTCCCCGCACGCTTTACAAGAGATCAGATAGACTGTACCCGAACTCATGCAGTCACCGTCTCTACCATTGGGACAAATTATGAAATTTTGCGTTGCACATAGACGGTCGTATAGGCGGTTACGAACTAGCTGGCGTCTTAGATTACTCGGTGGTATTTCGATCATCGTTACCGAATTCTCTAGACTGGCCCTTCTTAAACAGCGTTTTATAGCTTCAATTACTTCATTTGAAATGAAGGGCAATACAAACGAAGCCTTGTTGTCGCTAGAGTTATCGTTGGAGTACTTGTGGTTTTCCCTACACCTATCTCGAGCTACAGTTTCGTAACCATTGAAAATGGCTATTTGTCGCGCCAAGTTCAGGGACTCCTCTCTCTGCTGTCTTCCTTTGCACACGCTGGTAGCTGTTCGATACATGTTTCTCATAAGCGCCCTTTTCGTGTGAGAGGGTTGAGAGGAGAGCTAATGAAACAGAAGGTTTTTACTACTTGGCTTTCGATACCACTTCGTAATGTAGCCGTTTTCTGATAGGCTAATTTGCACGTTCAGAAATGGAAGCCAGTCTTCTTTTGGTTTCTCTCGGGTGAATTTAATATACTCTGACTGTTCGTTCAACAACTCGAAACATCTGTCAATTTCTTCTTGTGTTAAACAAATGATCAAACAGTCATCTATATATCTACAGTAGAGTAACGGACCGAGGTCGGTTACTGGCGCTTCCACCCTAGACATGAATGCAATGGCAAGGTTTGGTGCCAGTCGCTGTTCCATTGCCAACCCTCTCATCTGTGCGTAATACCTCCTAAACCACCTGAAGATTGAGCAGTTCAGGCACTCCTTTAAGAGTGTCATCAACTGCTGAATCGAGAAGCCGTACATGTTTATTGCTCCTTCGTATTGCATAAGGAGCTCGTTTATGGCTTGCATAGCGGAGTCATTCGACACGTTCGTATACAGGGCAGTGACGTCGAACGACTCCACCACGTACGCGCTGTTGGGTTGCGCGTTACGTAGATGATCCAGAAACATTTGGATGTTCGTTAGAGGAGCTGAAATGTACTTCAACAACTGAGTAAGTATTAGGGTTATTAACCACGTTATTCTATGCGTTGGCCCGTCCACGCAGCTAGTGGTCTAGCCTTAAATAACGATGACATGGTAGGCACGAGATCATCGCTGGATACTAACTTATGGGTTTTGATAAGTAAGTACAGGACGGGACATGTTAGTAAGTCAATTTCGAGATGAGAGATAACTGATGGTTTTAACCCAGCCGCTCTTGCCACTTTAACCCATTCGTTGTTTAACTTTCGGTATTGACTTTTAAATTCTTTTTCAGACAACGCTACGATAAAGGAAAGTATCTTCAAGGTGCTTTTCCGTTATCTCAAAATCTAACTGATAGGGAATTACAACGAACTTTCCACCCTTATCACTAACCGATAGTCTTATGTTTTCCATCTTATCAGCTCTCGTACCTCCCGTATAGCACGTTTTTGTATTTCAGTGAGGTTGGAGCAGTATCTTTTAGCGCGATAGTGATTAAGGACTTTAAAAGTTTTATTCGTAAACATCCGAAATTTAACATCAACTTCATTGTTGGGCTCTTGTCGTCTAAAGAACGGTTGAGGAAATGGTGGTACTGGTATCGCCCCTACTCTTTGTTGTTCGCCCCTATTTTGCGCTTCATCCCTAGCTTTTTTGCGGATTCTATCTTGAAGTTCATGTAAACTATATACAACCCTACGCAATGTTACCTTAGAAATGGGCTCAGATGGTGAGAAACTCGGTCCCAATTCTAATAACGAGCGCGCACCGTCAGGGAGGGTTATGCCTCCTAGCACGCTTAACCTTGAATTTCTTAGCATATTATTTATCCTACCGTGACTCGTTTGATCTTCGTTGGCGGTGTTTCTGTATGCTCTTGAAGCCGTGTATTGCGATTTACTCAAAAGGTCTTCGAATTTTCACCGCAAAGTTACTTTAGCATTAGACCTAATACAGTTGCAAATCAACACTGACTCACCCACTATTCTCCTCCAGAGGCGGTCCTCCAAATAGTAGAAAGAATTATTCAATCAATCACGAGGTTAATAAAAAGTCGGACTTGAGAGTTAAAACTTGGAACGTCAGTTGTGCCACCAACCCGCGACTACCTTTCCAGTGGCTTACGTGTTATCCTCTGCCTTATCGAAGCCTTTGTATCGCTTTCCTCTCAGCCATATTTACGCTCTATCGGTGCTATCAGCAATCACCGGCCAAAAGAAATGAATTGAGAAGCACAACTTGGCATTGAACCTAGTTAGGTTGAAGCTGCAGTCCAAAACACAATGCTTTAACTTTTTATTTACTTCCTATATTCGCATTATATTATATTCCTTATATTTTGCATATATTTTTCCATCGTTGTAGCGCACAATATGAAGTAAAAACACGACGATGCTAAGATTTGAGCTGAGAGAAGGCTATGAGAAAGTCAAAGCAAGGGGTTCGGTTGATGTAGTGGATAGCACGTGAAATATTTGACACTTAACACTTGAACGGCCCATCCCCACTGGTTGTGCGGGCTCCAGTATAATCTCCTTTTTTGGAGATTTGCTGGTTAAGCCATTGTGGTCCCCTGAAATTCCGAGGTCAGCCTAGCCAAAGTCCGCCCCACGTCTTCACCACCACAGGCAGTGGCAGTCCTTGTGGATCAGAGGAGATTTGCCACCATGCAAATAGTTTGATACCAGGACGGTGGTGGAACCTGGTATTGGTTTACTCTTAGTTAGGATTCTTGATGGAAACGCGGGACTTATTCTCAACTTGGAGAGACCCTGCCAGGAGGATGGATTCCCCCAGCTGTGCATTGCAGCCCGAACACGGGAACACCTTCCAGCCACGATAAGGCAGTAAACCGTTAGGAGGACGTGAAATACTGGCAGCGGTAATAGTGAGTTCGAAGCCCAGTTGATGTTAAAAGTTTTGCTTATCTGTTAGCATCCTCGTAGTTGTACTTCACATCATACCCTGCACGAGAAAAAAAAATGGAGAGACAAAAAAAGGATAAAGCATCGTTCGAATTATTTCAAACTCTTATCTTATGATGCTTTGCGAGGAATTAGCTCACTAATATTTCCACGCGTCTATAAACTAATAATCTATAAGTGGTAAGTAGCCAACAATTCACTGAGTTTTATTGATATGAAAAGCATTTTTGCTGCGAATTACATCGTCCACATATTTGAAATATTTGCTTTTGGGATAAAACGTTGTTTAACTGGAAGATCTAAACTATGTTCAACCTCTATAGCCCTGAAAAAGCAAGCAAATAAAGCGGAACCGAATCGGCGAGCAGAACACTGCGTCCACAAGTAGTGTTCGAAATAGTATTTGCAGTACTATTTATTAAACATCCTGTTTGCTTTATAAGTAAAAATGTTGCGACCAAAAAGAGACTAATAATTTTCATGAACCACCCATCGAGACAGCATGGTCGAAATTTCATGAACAACTAAAATTATTGTGGTGACTTTATTCAACCTTTTCTTCTCACCATGCTCCATAGTTACTACACAACCCAAATTTACTGGAATACTTAGATGTACTGCATTTACAAAAAGTGAACTCTAATACATTTTCTATTCAAGTAACGCGTTGCAGATTTTTCAAGATTTTGTCTCTGATGTCAAATTCTTCCCCATATGGGTGACCTTGCGGAGATATGAATCCCATGCTGCATAGTATGCACCTTGACAAATAATAAAATCACAGAGCCGCTATGAACAATTTGGTAATACGTATAAGCATTACCGAAGCATATTTGCTAATCCGAAAACTCTTCCAAGCTTAGTCACAATGATGCTGAGATACACGTAAAACTCTGGACCACAGGTGACTGTGATGGGCATCGAATCCGTTACTACCCTTTGCGGGGCTAACGTGTTCACCACAACACCCTGCGTGTCCTTCGTTTCGCCATTCTCACAGCCGTGTTTTGACCTATAGGTGCTGTCACCCCGCTGCGGGATTGATCTGAACCTTGTTTCCCCAAAAATTGCACAATTAAATGGTCCCTTTTTGAGAACAAAGCCTAGCACATTCTCTTCTTGGGCGGTATTCTATTATTTGGGCAGCGATTTTCTTTTATCCATGAAACCAGAGATAGCCGCTCCCGTGCCAGTGTGCTCCCAGTACGTGATTTGGTTTCCTTTAAGACAGTGGTAATTTTTCGCAGAGATTTACTTTTAGCAGAGTTTTTCGGATAGAAACGTGAATCGCCGTTGAATACACAATAACTTAATGAGGCAGTACGTCACTAAGGTCTCGAAGATATAGTTTCCTAAATCCGTATTTAAGAATTTGCTAGTTTCAGATTCCAACAAACCTCCTTTCTATTGTAATTTCTTATAGACAAGCTATTTTAAGTCTTCCACTTTATCCTAGTAGTTTTTCTGCTTACAATTAAGAGACTAATTGCTTTCGATATTGCTCAACACCTACATTACAGATCCAGTGCACATCGATTATATCTCAGCTTTCCACTATTGTTTTTAAATTTCAAACGACCCGCCTCTCACATGTACTGTTCAG